ATTCCTAAACAATTTTATCTTAACAAATACCAAATATAAAAATACCCTTTTCACAACATTTTTCACGTAATCTTTTTATAAAATCTTCAATTAATTCTCGATATCTAGAATCAAATAAAACAAGCCACTCTTGGGGGAAACTAGCTGGTACCAAGAAATTTCCACTGTTCCTAGTCCAATCACCCTGAAATAAAAAATTACATTATAAGAGCAGTTATGCTTGAGTTGTAACCTTGTCATCACTTGGAGCTACTTCACGGTTATTCCTATATAACAAATGTGGTAGTGGTCGGACATCAATATTTGTATCATTTGACTCCGATTGGACCTAACAAAATGAAAAAATTTTTTTTAATTGTGGATATCGAAAAGGAGATAAGAAATTTGTCAACAATAATAGGATATTTTAAATATTAACCTTAATTGAGAACGCAGAAAGAACGTTATTTTTCCCATTCCATAAATCTAACTCAAAGCCACTCTGACGAATATTTTGATGTCGTTCACTGGGTGCGATAGAATTTCTCTGTACAAATAAATAAATAAATACGTATAATTAAAAAATAAATAAGCTAACCCTTAAAAGAATATCAACCAAATCGGGAGACTGTTTTTCCTGAGGAATTTTTTGACCTTCTAAAATAATCAACTGCTCAACAGGGAACTTTTCGCTAGGTTTTCCTGCCTAAAAATTAGTATATATTTGATATATTCAATAATAAATCACCGGGTGAACTCCAGGAAATTGCAAATTATTAAGACGTATATTTTTCGTGTCATTGAAATAATCGATCAACGATACCCAACAGACTTCACCATCAATTGTTCTCTCAAACCTAGAATTAAGAAAAAAATAAAAAATTATAATGCTTAATTTAAAAACATACTTCTCTTCACATAAAGGCTTGTCTCCAAATCCTCCAATAGAAAAAATTCGGCTCCGGTTATATGCGCATTGAACTTTAACTCCGCGTAAAAAATTAAACAGCTTCTCCATACTATCAGGGGCCTATTTCAATTGTCCACAGATTCTGCATTCTGTGCACAGAACACAGATTCTGTGGAAATTCTGTTTCAATTAAATTCTGTGTGCACAGAATCTGTGGTGCCCGCAGATTCTGCGGAAACATCCAATGATTCTGTGGAAACATTCCGCAGATTCTGTGGATGAAAATTTCTGTGGAAAATATAAAAATCTGTGGATTTTTTCCACTGATCCACAGAATTTGTATTTCAATTATTTTTCTGTGGTTCTGTGTATTTTTTCTTCTAAATTCAAATTTTTTATTTCCGCGTTTTTGAAAATAACAGTTTTATTGAAACGAAAAATGGTTTGGACAGTTCGGTACTACCGCAGTATTAATGGTACCTGATTTTTTGAAGTAAAACTTTAAAAATTCTTAAATTAAACTGAAAAATATTGTAAAGATTTAAAAATTTTCCCTCCAAATCACATAACATCCCTTTAAATCTCTTTGATATCACTTTAAAACCGCTGATATACCGCTTAATTTTCTTGTTCATCCAATATCCTTAAATCTCCAATTAAATTAATGTCCTAAAGCAGGGTTCGGATCGGAAAAATCAGGAGATGTCGATCCGACATGTGGCTTTTTCAAACTACGATAGAAGTTGTTGCAAGGGAGGGAAATGTTTGGGGATTGTTTAGTCAGAAATTGAGGTTCCTGGAAATCGAAAATGCCTGGAATCCAAAATTATAGTCAAATCGGAACTTTAAAATCGTAGAGGAGTGATTAAGTGGGATATCCATTGATTTTGAGGTTTAATATATTGGAGTGATTAAGGAGGAAATCTATCATTAAATAGGAGGAGAGATTATGACGGATATCAATGAGAGATCATGGGAGATATCCCAGTATACGCTATACAGATATATTCTATAGATCCTGGTAAACATCCCCTCATTAGAGATATCCATGATGATTAGAACATCATAGCTCTAAATTTCAGAATCTCTCACGTTTTTTATTTTTTTATTGCTTGAATATAACAAAAACTGCGTAAAAAAGATGTACCTTTTTCAAAATTAATTTTAAGCAATAATTTTAGGTAATAAAATTATAATTTTTATATCAAAAAATAGAGAATGATTCAAACTTTAATAATCTTTAAAAATTTTGAAATTTGGTTAAGCCTAGGCCTAGAAAAAAATTGTTAAAGTTTTTCCACAGAAAGTTCGCAGAAAAAATTTTAGGGTGGATTTTTTAAAGAATTCTGTGTATTTTCCGCAGACCACAGAAATAATTGAAACAGAAATGCACAGAATCGACTAAAAAAGCCACAGATCTGTGGATTTTTTTCTGTGCACAGAAAAATAATTGAAATAGAATTCTGTGGTTTTTGCATGTTTTTGGATGTTTTGCAGAATCTGTGGATGTTTCCACAGATTCTGTGCATGTTTCCACAGAATCTGCGGACTTCTTTTTCCGCAGAATCTGTGGAATAATTGAAACAGAATTTCTGTGGTTCTGTGGTCTGTGCACAGAACGCAGACCGCAGAATCTGTGGACAATTGAAATAGGGCCCAGACTGATTATTGCAATATCGCATAAAGTCATTAATTGTTTTCTCTACAGTTTGACTTGTCAAAAAAGCAGAGACTTTTGCTTAAAATTATCAACATTTTTGAGTATAATATTAAACTATTTTACCATCCAAAACCACAGCTGCTTGTACCTTTCCATTATTATTACCCTTAACAATACGAACTCCTTTGCATATACCAGAATGGAAGGTTATATGATTTGCGCGAAAATAAGGGCATCCATCAGGTATCCGTTTAAAGAGACGGCCACTTCCCAAGGAAATAAACTTGTCACTAAAATTAAACTAAAATTAAGAGACAATTTAGAGAAAACCTTTCTAAAGTCTTCTGGGCAATAGCCAATTCCAAAAAAGTGCGTAAAGACCGATCTTCTTGTATTAGTGAAGTATTTCCTTCATATTGACTCAAATCGCTCAAATCCAAAACACGATTAGCGGTCTGACATGGCTTGAGTATAACCTAAATTTGCAAGAAAAATAAAAAATATCAAAGGTATACAAACATTAAATTTTGTTTTTCTGTCAAATGTTTGCTGTATTAATTTGCTCACTTCAGAATAAGAGATGGAAACGGCATCGCACTGAATAAATGAGAATAGTATAAAATAAAATTTTATGAGTAAAACCTTCTGCAATTCAGCTGACGAATAAAAAATAGAACGTCCATCATATACATAAGCATTAGGCGGCGATAGAAGAAAGTTCTTTTTCACATAAATACCAACCAATTCAGAACTGATCCGGCGATTAAGATCGACTAAAGGTTAAAGTCGATAGAGAACTTTAAAATAAATTAACCTGATCCTTTAGTTAAACTCCACCCTTTGTTTGGATTGTCAGAAGCCATGATTTCAACATCTATAAATTAAAAATAAACTGAAAAGAGTAAAGACAAACCATATCTATAAGCTTTTTTTCCTTGATCTACATCAATTAAGAATATTGAAGATAATCCAGGTTTTGAAGAAATATTGTCATTTGAAGCGCGGAGATTACTAAAAATAAAAAATTATAAAAGTCTAATAATTAAAAAAATATTTTCTAAATATTGAAGTAACCTTGACGAAGACATTGTTAAATCTATTCAGTTGCTTTGCACACCAATTTAGAGTTAGTTTAGATTAATCTTAAAAATATAAGGAAAATTAAATTATAAAAAACTGAATTTTTTCGATAAAATTGATCGTATATAAACCCCTTTAAAATACGAATAATGTATGGAATTTGTTTAAAATCAAATTCTGGACACGAATAATTAAAACAAAATTATTTTCCTTTCTAAAAATACAGAGATGGACAAGTAATACGAAATATCAGAGACACGTCTAAAACGGCGCGCAGCCATAAAGGCGCAAAGCCGTAACCTGCTTCAGGACTACCCAATCTTACCAAATGTAGTATTAAACGACTCCTCTCATCGAGCTAAAGAGATCGATTCCAAAATTGATAAAGGCCAAAAATTTTACAGCTAGTAATAGCTTTGCGCCGTTATGGCCGTGCGCCGTTTCGGGCTGTACAAAAAAATATCACGTGCATAATTAACGAAATATTTTTAGAAAATTTAACCAAAAATTCTCAAAAAGGAAACCAATTTTAGCTTTATTACTAGAATAATTATTCCAAGACGTAAAGAAATTTTTAGAATTTTTACCAAAACAACTCTTACATTTCTACGTGCACAGAATAATTTTTGTAAAAATAACCTGATTATGAATTAATAGTTAAGAAGCATCAATAAGAAATTAAACACCAATAGGAATTGACAAGGGCCGAAGTTGAAAGAAAAATTAAAAATTAAAAACCTTAAAAAGAAAATTTAAAGTCAAAATTATAAACATAAAAACAGGCAAAAAAATAAATTAAAAGATGAAAGAGAATATGGGGAATCATGATTGGGGAAAAATATTATTTGTAAACAATGCACTTTAAGCAAGCGTGTAACTGAGTCATAAGCGCTTAAAACGACGACAGTTAAATTGATAGCATCTACATAATATCACGTGAATCAGAACGTGTACGAAACGTTCAAAGTTCCAGCTCGTCTTGTTTTTAACTGAAATTAGAATGCTGCAAAATCGCATTCCCAGGATCCCCTAATGGGATTCATTTAAGATTCTTAGGGGACGGAATCCCGCGGATTAATCCCGTAAATCCTGTTTGTAAAGAACAACCATATCCGAGATGGGATCCCGTAAAATCCAGTACGGGTCCCGTCCCGCACTCTAACTGAACTTGTTTTTGAGACTGAAACAACCCGCGAACTGAAGGGAAAAGCCGATTCAGTATCGCCGATTCATTATCCGCCGATTCAGTTTTATTGTTACAATTTTCTTATTTTTGATCGATCCGAATAATTCGAATATCATTCGACAGGCTCGAGATTCGACATCTTTTTCATAATTATTTACTCTGATCTCAAAATTTAGTCAAAATAGTTCAACCTTAGCGATTGAAATTTTGAACAGAAACCCAAATGAAACGTCGTCATTCTTTATCAAACCGTCAAACACGATACAGTAATGATCAACTAAATGAATTTTGTACAAATGGATCAAACTATTTATCGTCGGAACAAGTTATTAAAGTAAGCAATTTTAATTTCTGAGATTTTTTTAATTTTAGCAACGCTCACATTCAGCGCCACCAGATTATCAAGAAAGGGCATTTTCTCAGAAACAAAAAGTTAAGGTTTTATTTTTCTTTTATGTGAACAAAAATATTAATTAATAGGGATTATCTAAAAAGCAAAGTAGAAGGAGTGCCGCTCGAAGAGAAAGACGTAAAAGTAGAAGAATTCAACTCAGGGCTGAACAGAAAGAATTGAAAGAGTTGAAAAGAATTGAGAAAAAGAAAGAGAAGAAGAAAGAGCGTCGTGATAGAGGTTGTGGAATTCCGGACAGGTTTGAAAATTAAAAAAAATTCAAATCGTTTTTTAAAGATGGCTTAAATACTCTGTTGCTGGCCTAACACCAATTGAAGGTACTCGCTTCATCGCTTTCAAGACTCCCTTACATCCGTATTTCTTCGCTTCGGAAGTGACAGAGAGGCACCGTTTTGACGTTGATGCGATCGTTAACCATGTTAGTTTTATTTTTCTAATAAAAAATATTTTTTTAATAAAGTTTCCGGTCTCTATTTTTGCCTCCCCAACTTTTTCCCATAATCTACAGACTGGTCAGATTTTTCCCTTCCATCCCAATTGCCTTTCTATATTTTGTCTTTGCGAACGAATTAAAAAATAATCCTTTTTGATCGTTTGTAGGCAAAATATAGACAATTGGAATGGATGAAAGGGAAAAGTCTGACCGTTCTGACACATATAGAAAAAGACATGGAGGAAATATGCGGACTGAAAACGACACTGATATCTTTAAAATCTTATAAGTGTGAGTCTATTGTGAAAATAAATTTTAAAATTTAGATGGCCTCTCAAAATAAAACGCTTGGTCTAGTGATTGATCTAACTGATACAAATCGTTATTATGATCCTACTAGATGGATAAGACACAAGGTGATTAATAAAGAATAATTTAGAAAAATTATTTAGGTTGCCTATAACAAATTAAACTGTCCTGGACATCAAGTAAATCGCAGTGAATTTTTCTTTGAAACATTTCTTCAAATAATCAAAAATTTTATTGCTCAAAATGTTGATAATGGTAACTTTGTGAATTTTTAAAAAATATTATTTTTATATAATAGACAAGCTCATTGGAGTCCACTGCACACACGGATTGGTTTCTTTTTAGTTTGTATTTTTAAATATTTACTTGTTAAGAATAGAACCGGTTACTTGATTTGCCGATATTTAATACAAGAGGACAATTGGAGTGCTACACAAGCAATTGAAAGTATGTATTATTTTAAAAATTGTAAACTCCATTTTAAAATTATTTCAGGCTTTGGATCAGCAAGAGGTTACCCTATAGAACGAGGTGCTTATATACAATCCTTGTACAAGATTGAGAGGATGATGAACAGCGTTGATTGTGATGAGGATAATTTGGAATTTTTTAAAACTTAAGGCTTATTCGAAACTTATTATCCTACTTTTATGGCATTTGGTTGTTTATTTTTAATATTTGATAAAAATAAAATAGTGGAAAGTTTCCAGATTAACCTCAATTCGGCCCTGCCTAATTCGACCCGCTAAAATTCATCCAATCTCGAAATTTCCAGTAGAGCAAAATTCAACCCGTCTCAAAATAGTTATAATTAAAAACTAATTTGTCTATGTCTTCGTACTTTTTTTAAATCTTATTTGTACAAAAAACAATCAAATCTTTATAAATTTTAATTCACTTCAAAAACGTAAAAATAATTAATAAAATTAAAATACACGTATATTAAAATTAGCTGTATAATAAAGCGGCAAGATGTACTAAATATCTCTTTATATTTGTCAGTAAAGATGGATATATTCTTGAAATTCCAAAAGATTTATGGCATAAAGTCGGTAGATTCTCAGGAAAAGACTTTGAAATTTCCTAAAATTTAATGAGGAACAAATTATAGTTAACACTCACGTGGAATGATTTTCCACGCGTTTCAGGTAACAGTTTTGAAACAACAAATATGTATATCACATTCATAGCAGCAAACGGAAGAAGGACATACTCAATACCCCATTGGTTCATTAAAGGAAGTGCTATTGTCGTTAGAAACCCTCCAAAAAGATTCTAGAATAATGCATTCCAATAGAATAATCCGTAAGTTATTCATCTACCTGTGTCATACCAATTAATGCAGTGCCCATTATACGATCCTTTTGCGGAAACAGTTCTGGAACTATACTGTAAGCGCTCGCGCTAGCGACTGCGGCATTGCATAAATCTAGAGCTGCTATTACCGGGAGATCTAAATTGGCATAAAATTATGTTGATTTATCAAAAACCAACGTTTTGGACTAATTATAGCCCCAGAGCTAAGAACAACATAAATTGATATAAGGGCACAGAACACACTACCAATAGTTGGTAAAATAAGTAATTGCCTTCGAGAAATCTCTTCAAAGCAAAAGAGTAGAGCAATGGAAATCATTGCCTCAATATAGAAAAATTTGGCGTTAAAAATTTGGATAGTTCAGATACTTGAGGGATTGACATCCAAAGGGAAGATTTTTGAGCTATTACGGTTGGCACTCCAGCATTCTCAAAAGCTTGGGTAGAATAGGAGATCCAGAGCTATAATTTAGCTAAAATTTATTGAAAATTCTCTACTAACCCAATCATCCAAATGTGTAAAAGTCAAAATAAATGCACCAAGCATTAGTGGATAAACAAATTTCCCAGTCAAAAATCGTGATTTCATTATAATTAAGGCACTAGCATTCACATTTTGTTTCAACAAAAAATGTTCCTCACGATATTGTTCCGATAATTCGGTTCGAATATCTTTCATAGAGACGATCCAATCCTCAGAATTCTTTTAAAAATTAACAAGAATGAATTTGGGAAGAACCTGATAGAATTGAAGAGACTTTAAAGCTTTATCCTCCTTGCCTGAAGTAAGTAATGCTCTGGGCGAATCTGGCGCTGTTGCAAGGAAAAACATTGCAAATGGTATAATTAAAACAGGAAAGCCAAGGGCAATGTGCCATTTATCAGGTGTGCCAAGGACCTGAATAGGATGAATATGCACGTTTTAGCCCTTTAACTTTGTACTTACATTATTCAGGCTTATAAACATGCCAAATAATTCACCAAGACAAGCCCAAACAGTCAAAGAGGCAAGTGCAATTCCCCTTTGCCGAATAGGAGGTATTTCTGCGAGCATTGCGGCACCAACAATCTAAAACATACGTAATAATTTGTGCTTGTTTGTATTTTAATCACACGTGTGCTATTCCAGACCCAATTCCACTTAAAAATCGGCCAATAAATGCCAACTGGATACCGATTTGTGGCTGCCGGATAAGTGATGAGAGAGCACCACCCAACAAATTGAGCAAAAAGGCGAAGAGAAGGGGCCTAAGAATTTATGAGAAAATAGATAAATCTGTCGTATGAGCCGCAAGAGAGATCAGTAAGGGGTCGAGCTGTCAAAACAATTCTTTACCGTTTCCTGTTTTGGAGATTAGAAATAAGAAAAACTCCAAAGCACCCGAATGCAAGGCCATAAATTCGAGCCGAGACTATCCAACTCCATGCGAGATCGGCTTAAGAATTTTTTGAGATTAAATAATTGCGGGTATCTCTCACCCTCAGCTTCTGAACCGTATAGATTGATAAGATAATTGCGTGCAACTGGAATCAGATTGTCAACAACACTATCGAGGGATACCTTAATTGCTAATAAGTTGAAGGTGTTACGGAGATGTGATATTTGCTTACAAGAAACATAGAACCAGCTCCAATACTGAGCACCACAGAAATCATTCTCATTCTAGCCATAAATTGGCAATTATTATTTGAAGAATTATTTGATTTATTTGACCGTTTAGCATTCGAAGAAACAACAGCTGGCAACTTTATATTCATTAAAACAGGAGATAAACTCCCATTCTCTCCTTTGTGTGAATTCTAAATTTATTTAAAAATATTTAAATTTCATTCTAATATGAGAACACTGGTAAAAACAAAATATTTTTTGAAATAAAAATGGATTAAAAATGTACTGAGAGAATAAAATAAAAATATTTATTTTAGATTTAATCGCGTTTATTTTTTATTTACAAACAATGTTGGTGATTACCAACTTTTTTCTTTAGATTACGAAAAAACGTGGTAGTTTTTATTGTTTTTTTGTCATTAAAATATAAAAAATAAACTCAAAAAATTTTTGAAATTAGAAAGTATAGGGTAGATAATCTATCAAAATTATTAAAATAAAAATCCTACTTTGCTGCTTTCAGCAAGACTTGTTGCAGAGTTCATTTAGTTAACAATCAAACATTCAAATTGTTTTTCGAAATTTATGAAGGATTAAATAGTATGATATTAGTAAAATAGTAGATTAGATCAACATGTAATCTTTAACAAATTGGTACTTATCCGTTATACGCCCACAAACTGAGTGTCAGTCGAATTTGATCGACCACAACTTTTTTAAGGATTGATTAGAGCTGATTTATCCTATTAGAAAAAAGATACAGCTTATCGAGGGCTTTTAAATGATATAAAATTCATCTGTATTAGATCAAGCATCAAAATGCTGGATCTAGCCGATTAAAGTCGGTTGGCACTAATTTGTAAGTTTGTGAGAGTATAACGGATAAGTAACAGAAAATCTTACTAATCCAAAATTTAAATTGACTGTATTGAGCATTTTAATTACAAAAATTATAAAAAACTTTTAGAGAAAAAATAAAATTTTGTTTATCGAATAAAATTATTCTATGAATGACTCCATTAAATTTTGGATTGTAAATAAAAATGGATTGAAAATAAAGTGATGAAACATACATAAATTTACTTTATGGTGGCTTTATGGCTTTTTCGATATATGAAAGAATACTTAGGTACACTTTTCAAAATACCTGAAAAATGGGAAAAAATAAAGCTGAACAATCATAAAAATATTTTGTAAAATAAAAATTGAAAAGGGAATAAAGCAAATTTAGTTTTGGAATTAAAACCAGAGATTAAATGATGGGATCGATCTATTTATGTATATAAGATTGATTTGATCATTCATAGTAAAGTATTCAATTAGTAAAATTGAATAAATTAGAAGGTTTCTAATTACTGATTTACACATTCATTTACAATTAAAAATGCATCCATGTTGACTAGTTATAATGGTCTAGGATAGTTCTGTTCTTTAAGAATCATTAAAGGGTGGAATTATTATTTTGGAAAAAGATGAATAAATTCTTCAAATGAACTCTATTTAATTACATCTTGATCTTTATATTTACATGAAAGAAAAGTTGGAATGAATGACTTTTAGATGGCATCATCTCCAAATAATTAATTACGCTAGCATAAAGCTGCTTTTATTTTAAATCTCGTTTTCAAATATTTTATTATGTTCATAGGTATACTAAATAATAATATTAATGGATAAATTTAAAAAATTGATACATGTACTATACCCACATTTTACGTTGATTTTCGAGATTTCAAATCTCGATGATGAATGCAGTTAAAGACTTGTTCATTTTTCTTTCATACTTTATATCAATGGAAATATTTAAAGGATTTTATTATTTTTTTTCTTATTGTTAGTTATAAACTGTTCAAAATGTTTTGAAATACCTCATTTTTTAAATAATTTTCGCAACTTGAAAAATTATTATCTTATTAAAATTTTGTAAAATAGGGTAGTTTTTGCTGCTGAATCAATATTTTAAAAAATCATGAAAATTAGACAACTTTGTCGGCTTATATGAAAAATTAGCTATCTTATTATAATTTTAATATAACAGTATAATTTTCCCAGACGACGAGGAAACATCAAAATGTCCTAACAAGGTCATTTCATTGCTAGAGTATATTTTTATTTTCATACTGTAGTAGAAGCTAATTAATTTTCATTAATAAATTTTAATTAAAATAATTAATTAAAATATCGGTTTTATTCTGTGTGGCATTTTTAGCTTTATTAATAGCTTTATTAAATTTTAATCCTCTTTCAATGTAGTAAATTTAATTTTGCTCAAATGTTGGTACATGTTTAATTATTTATTTAAAATAGATTCTTATTCTTCGAATTAATATCATGGTAATATTAATAACAAATCTTTTGACTCTCTACTATTAATTTGGCCAAAAGAATAAGAATGATTGTTTTAAGCTATGGATAAATCTACTTTTAATTAAAAATATTGTCATTATTAGCTCCTATACGCATTTCCTGTCAATATTTGTTTATAAAAATAAATTTAATTCTACCTAGGAATATTTTTTAAACATTTATTATATTAATTTTTACATACTTAGATATTTATCTATGCCTTTAATAAGAGCTAAATTTATAGTATCCTAGGACAGTCTTGGAAAATGGTATGCTTCGATTCAGCTCATCGAGGCGAACCATACCAGGTAACGGATTCAGCAAATTCGAACGATGGCTTCGAGGTACGTTGGCCTGTTCCCGTCCACAATGCTGTACTTATTCTCAAAACTCAAACTACAGATCCCCAATTTGGATATCAAATGTTCGATCCTTCTCTGCTTATCTTTCCCCATAATTATTTCGGAATCACTCTCGAGATAGAAATATGCGTTTTAAATATAATTATGTATTTTCTTAGAATAATTATTTTTTATAATTATTTTTAAAAATTAAATTAGCTATCTAAAAATTAAAACCTCAAAATAGAAAACAGCAATTTAAATAAAAGTAATTATATACTAGGTACGTTAAAAAATTTTTTTTATAAAGCTTCAATTTTAGCAACATTTATTTGTAATTAAAGTAAATATTTTTTTGTTTTATTATTGAAATTTATTATGTGTTCTGTTTATTATTTTTAAATATTCTATGCTAAAATATACTTACGTAAACTTCCAAAAATTTAATGAGATGCGTAATATTCCCTAGGAATCATTTTATGCAATTATAATATTTGAAAGCTTTACGTATATAACTTGGCAAAAATAAATTTTCTGAAATAAATCTTCATGTTTCATTCTAGGATTATTTCTTTAGTTTTACGTAACTACTACTAAAATAATATGCCTTTTTTGAACGATACAGAATCAAATAAAAGTGTCAGATTTGGTATGTTATCTTTAATTAAATTTAAGGTTGGCGGTTCAGGACATCCAAAAGTGAAAAAAGACCATGTATCCGTATCATCGGTTCGGTTATCGGTTCCTGATACCTGAAGATTTCCCAGGACAGCCAACATTAATGCCAACCTGTTCAATTAAATTATAATCATTAATTTAATAATATAAAGACACTGTGCGCACAATATATTCTATAAGTGCGGGATTGAGTTTTAGTCTTGGCATAATTTTGAACATGCTTCTTGCTTGGCTAATTCTAACTAAAACAGTGAAGGCTATGCGCATGTACTCGCGCCTGCTTCTTCATTCATGTCTTATGGCTAGTTTCTTAAAATAAATTTTTTAATTTACAATCTTCAGGATATTCTAATCGTTATTGTATCTACGCTCGTTCAGCCTATTCCGGTAAAAATTTAAAAACTTTAGTTTGCGTCAATTCATCTAAAATAGATAGTTGATCATGGATACCGTGCTCTATTCCAAAATGGAGTTTTCCGAAATTTGCCCCAACCTTATGCTTATATGGTAATTAGAACATTCGAATATTTGATTTATTTCTTAAAATTCAAGTTGAATGTTCTCTGGATTCAACTTCTGCTGTTTTTCTTAGCTTCTACTACAGCGCAGTTCATTTTCCGATACTTCCTTCTATCTAAGTCATATTCCTAGGTATTTGATCATTCAAAAATTTATTCAGAGATGGGCATATTCCCCGAAGTTTGATCTGGCTTATGGGCATCCTAGCGTTCCTTCTGAACCTATTTCACATTGTCTTGCTTGCCTGGGCTGATTATCCACGCCCTAACTATTACGAAAAAATGGAAGAGTTATCAAAACTCGTCACTCAAGAAGCTGGCATTACAGACGTTAAATTCTCCTCGTTTACCTGGGCTGTAAGTTTAACCAAAATTTTTGGATGACAATATTTCATAATAAACTTAGCGTTCATTTCCATGGTTGATGCATTGTGTCATCATGGTCTTCCTCTTTTCTACTTGCTATGCCGTAATCACGGTAATATAACTAACAATTTTTTGTATATTCCTAACTCTTTAAAAGATTTGTGTATTCAAAATCCGTAAGTATGTGCGCGAGGCATTCACCATTAGTGTGGATATAGGTGAAAAGGATCTTTCGCTGGAAAAGCTGAAAATGGAACGTTTACGTGATTACAATAATCAGCTTACTTATGCTCTTATTGTTCAGGTAAAGTTAGAAAACAAGTCTAGTTTAATCTTACCGTCACAAGGCAATTCTCCCTACATTCGAAGTGATCGCAATGAGCACACAAATTCTACTCCCAATTTTCTACCCAAGTGGAACTACTGTATTTATCATTGTCTATACAGTTATACCGCTATATTTTGCCCCGGTTTGTTTATATTCAATGAAATTTTTAAAATAAATCCATCCGTATTGTAAATTTTGAGGTAATTAATCCCCTGTCCACAATCTTCTTGGTAAAACCCTATCGCCGAGCTGTTATAAACAAAATTTTTGGTAGAAACAACGGTGAGATGACACATGCAACTATAAAAAATAATACAGGAATGCCAACAAGTAAGGATCAGCAACGGTCTTTTAATACTGTTGCACCTATGGAACAAGGAGGAGCATCTAGTATCAAATGCTTAAATAAATCTAGAAATATCTTATTTTAGATTAAGTTGACGTTAAGGATATATCTGATAGTAAGAAATTTAATCTGAAGATGAAGATTGAAAAGGATAAACATCTGAACTTGAACTGAAGATCTGATTATTTGTTTAGTGAGTGTAGTTGTTCCAATTTTCCTATTATGTAATTTCCTTTTTTAAATTTAAAATTTTCTCCACTACAACAATTGTACTCATAGACTTTTATAAAAAAATTCTATTTGAATAAATTCAGATGATTTATAAAAATTGTAATTCTGCGTCAGTTGGTAATCCCGCTAATTTTGTTTTATACTGATTGAACATCTCCCTAAGCCTGAGGCAGTATTCAGCATGAACTTTGTCCACTAAATCTTCGCTCGGATTCTCATTCTTTTTCACCGGGATTGGTGCTCCAACTGATAAAATTACTATTTAACTTTAAAGTTGAGGGAACATACCAACGGTAACCACCTTATTCCTGAAGGGAAGTAGTCCAATAGTTAATAATCTAGGCAGCTTGTGGATATAGTCAACTGGCAAAAAGCTTGCTAAAAAATTTTGCCCATAAGCAAAAGGAAAAGCAACACTAGTCCACCGCTTTACGAGATTCTAATAAATGTTTATTTTGTAAAATAGAACAGGCTTATACCTGAAATTTTCTTGCTAAACTGAATTCCTTGGTACTAATCTGCCGGAAAAGGCTGCTCTCGCCAAAGTGATAAACAGGGACCAAGGATGCACTAAAACAATGAATAATTAAAAATAGCTAATTATTTAAGTGCGAGAATTTACCCATTCTTAATGGCCAAACGAACAAAGCCCTAAAATAATGATCTATAATTAAGATATATATATAGAAATTTGATATGAAATATATCCTCACTTTTCTATTTTTTAGTATTATACGATGCACATTAGGGAAAGATTCTAATGATTCAGCAGCACCTCCAGGCACAATCCCGACAGCGTTCCCCATCTTTGGCCTACTTAACACGTAAGAAATTGATTCAGGATTGCAGCTTATTATGCCTGAATGAGTTATGTTGATTTTTTAGGTTCATTAATTCACCTAATGCCATAAAAAATTCCCTCCTTATCGGAAACCAAAAATTGACTCCCAAAGTAGCACCATGCAAATCAATGCCAGGAAACAATTTTTGAGTGTTGTGAGCATTACTGGAGAATAGAAGCATGCTACTAGAGCCAAGAATTCCGTGCGGATGGGCACTAAACTATTTAAAAATTAATCAAAATTTGGTCATTTCACCTAAAAATATAGTTTTGTGTAGGAGGTATTTCAGCAGTTTTGTGTATTTCAATAGGAAAGTAATCAACTATATGCCTCCATATTTGCCAATTTTTTACATATTCCCTAGGCCTTGAACCACGGCAAGGCTGTTTTATGTCATAAAGGTACCAGACAAGGTATAAACCAGCAAAAGGCCTTGAAAAAATTTTTTCCAATCCAGCTTTATTAAATCTAACCATAAAAGTGTATAAAATCCGAAAAGTAGAAGAATTGAAATTATACAAAAAGGAGCAACAATTAATGTCCATAGGCTGAAAAGCACAGCTAGCGTTTGCTTTAGCCGATTAGCAAAATGTTTATGGCGGGGATATATTTCCTTGGAAAATTTTTTGGGAGATTTTGTACTATTGGAAGACATTTTAAAGTTTTTTGATGAGTTAATAAAAGAGAGAATTAAAAATTTTAAGAACAGTTATTGAAATTGAAGGTATTTGAAGGTGTTGATCATCTAATTTTTTTTGTTTATCTTTAAGATAATAAAATTAATTAAAGTACGGGTAAACAAGTAAATAACAATTTAAAAATCATGATGTTTACTACCCTTTTGGAGTAATATCTTTAAATGATATCACAAAACGAGTGGTAAATAATAAGAATAATTTACAATTAATGAACCATGTTTGTTTATAATTAGAAATTTTATAATTGATTAAAACTAAAATTGGTATTACTGATAATAAATAGGTTCACGTGAAAGTTTTCACGTAAAATAACAAACTACGCAAACAAAAAGTTGAATAGACAAATTGATCCAATAAATGTTTTGCTAAATAGATAAATATTTGGACAATTAATGATAAAAGTACAAAGGGCCTTTTTATTATTTTTATCATTTATGGCTAGAATGGATCACGCAACCGCTGGCGCGACCTGTTTTTATGAGTGGAAGGAAGCGGGAATGCAATTCAAAGATAATAATGATCTTTCATTGATAATTTTGTTTATCTTTAATTTTAAAATAGTGATAACAAAAAATGATATAAGAATATTAAACAATGAGGAATCTCTCGTTTATAAAAATTATCAATTAAGGCATGAAGTCGAAGAGGGATCACTTGCCAACCATGGACAATTCTGTAATACAAAATCTTGAATTATAAAATAAAGATCACAAATTACCAAATTTTGTTGCCCACAAGGATTATAGCCAATATAACAATACCAGTCATGGAAGAAAAAAAGCAACATAGTCGCTACCAAAAGTGAAATATAAAAAACTAGTGAACATATTTCCAGTCTTCTAATGGCTAATTGCCAATCCCTGTCCAAATCGTTTTGAGGGATTAAAGCTGAAATATCATTGCGAATTGAGTGGATAGTATCTGTAAGTCTGCTAAAGTTGAGAGCCATTCCTTCCAAGATATTTGTCTGTTGTATCTGTAATCTTTGTATGATTATAATCCTAAACATTTTGGATATATATTCGTCTGTCTATACTAACTAGTATCAGAAAATCCTCAACAATGGTCCAAAACATTACCAGGTATCTGAACATTAACAGACCCCCTGACAAGTTTATTTAAAAACTACAGACCTCAGACGTTGAGGTAAGTAAAATAAGCCTAAAAGCCTTACGACACTCCAGATTTCCGGCATCCACTGGGGGACACCCTCACCACAAAATATAAGTGAAACGATAACATTTACAATGATAGAGCTGATTTAAAAGACTTATTCTCTCCTTTATAAAAATCTTTAACGTGTTGTATTCTCTATGGAAAGACATACTTAATTCCTTAATGTTACAATTCTCTCTCATAGCCTTTCCTTTATTCTTTCCTTTTCCTGTTTTTCTCATCTTTTCTCTCAATTCCTACGTTATTTCCAGTCAAATATTTATAAAACAGGTTTTATTTCTAAATTTTAAATAACAAAAGTCAACCAACCAAAGGACTTTCAGCGTGTAACAAACTATGTCGCTTTCTTTGGGATAAAGCTGCTGCTGCTGGTGAGGGAGGAGGTGGAGGAATTGGAAAATTCGATTTCCTAAGTTTAATTCCTTCACTTGAATTTAACTGTTCGTCCTTTCTCTTTTTGAATTTTTTATCCGGCTGGCAATTTACTTCGGGTTCTTCTACCTTAACCTTTTTTCTTCTACTTAAAGCTTTATCTTGGCGAGAGCCCGAATCTCGATCACAAGAAATTAGCCTTAAAAGGCTAAGTGCTACATTTTGTGTAGTTGCATTACTATTAGAAATGGATCCACTAAGCCTATGATGAACATTCAATAAACTTTGTCTATCATCTGTCAATAATTGCTGTTGGGAGGAAACAATACCAGAGCCCACAAAGCCATTTAAATGACCATGTGTTGGAGGGGTCTGGAATTTAAAAATATATTGAACTTTCATTTAATGTTCCAACTATTGTAGAATGTATTTGTGTTGCTTCGTTTTCAAATGCATGGGCCCTTCTCCGTTTGGTAGAAATCCCTCGAAAGCTTAAAAACAAATTTTAATGAGTGGACTCGGGGACTTATACCTCAATTGCTTTTTCTTCTTTTCAAACGTAATTAACCAACGTAGGTAAAAAGGAATCCGATTATGGATTCTTACATTACGCTCCATGTAAACAAACATCTTTAAAAAAATTTATGATTTTTAATTTCCTCTTAATTTTCTAATTTATATTTTTAAACATACAGAAGTAGTAACTGTAGAAAAGCTCACAATTACTAGCAACATAAAATAATAGAGACCTGAGAGATTTAAAAAACATAAATTTTCGTGTGTTAAAACACTAACCAATTAGAGGTATGCCAGAAAATGATCCACGTCCTTTACGTTCTGACATACTAAATTTTGGCATATCCTGAACTATGGCTAACAAAATCCTTGAATTTTAGACCTTTTTGGATTATTAAATAAAATTTTACATCGACATTGACATGAGCGTCATTATGCCTTGACGAAATTTTGCGTCTCTAAAATTAAAAAAAGGTTAAGGATTTTTAATTAGTTTCATGCCGATTTTTCCCACTGCTACTGGGAGTGTGAAAGCCAACGACAGCAACAAAGGCTTAATAAAAAATTTTTTAAATTTTACACCTTATTAATAATCCCTTACTGATCATAGCGCTAGGAATCACCAGATTAAAAACCTGAAAACTCCTTTAATATTAAATTAACTTAGAAATAATATTACATAATAAAATCTCTGTCTCGAGACAACCAGGTCAATAACCTTAATAATTTTAAAAATATAAAAATATTATCTTATTATTCTGAAATCAAATCAGCTTACAATCATTTCCCAGAAGAGGGGAGGATCTAAGTAATCATACAAAAAACCATCTGAAGTTATGTGACTTTCTTTCTAAAAATAGATTTAAAAATAGCAAAACTGGCACTTTGAATTTAGGCTATTTATTTACCAAATCTAGTTGCCATTCTTGATTGTCATAAAAATCAATTAGTGACAGATTCTTGGAGTATAACTTTAAAGGACAAGAATTTGATAATTAATAGAAAGTTTGCTACCGAATATTTGATGGAATCATTCGAATGCGCCCAGGAACCGAGTAGCAAAGTGCATCGCTGACTAATAGAAATTTTTTTTTTAATTTTAAAAAAACTTTAAGAATATTTACATATCAAAAGGAAAGAATTTGACATCCATACTGCATAGGGATTCAGTCGAGAAGGGAATCCAGTAACGAACATGCCCAGTAAAATTGACTCTTACATCGTTATTTGATTGTAATTTGACCTTAGATTTAATAAATTTCAATAATTATTATTTAATGCTTACAGCATCGTTGAAATTAACAGAATAATAAAGCGAAAATTCAGGAATCCAAATATCAGTCGAGGCTTTAATTGATAAAATATTCCAAAAATCAATTTAAAATTACCCAAAAATATCTCTGTGGCACCTTCATAAGTATCTGGTTCCCACTGCAAAAATTCGTCTTGCCAATACTAAATATTTTTTTGTAAATATTATATAAATCCCGTTATTAGCCAACAGAATAACAAGCTACAGCTATATAAATATAGCCAGTTCCGGCTGTCAATAAACAGCAGAATATGTTATTTATCCAACTGGGACCCTTCCTGCTTAAAATCTACTCCCCCAATATTTAATTTTTATTACCATTTCAAAGCTGCCAGAAAGTGAAATTGTATTCTTCACAGCATCGAGTTTGATAATTTGATATAAAAAGACTGAAAGATTAGATTTTAATTATCTGACTTGACGTTTACCGCTCATAGAAACATTGATGATCTTGCTAGGATGAGTAACTGGTCGAGTGCCTTTGCGGTAATAACGGAGTAAATCGTCATGTAACCGGTATGTAACAGGAATATCTTTTCGATGGAGAGAGCTAAAGATTTTTTAAGAAAAAAATTAGTTCAGGACTTGGAGAAGCTTTAAAAGGACCTTTCTTTCATTAAACTCAAAAGGAAAATTACCGAAAATTTTCTGGCAATAAATATTCCGAATGGCCGAATGCCTCTCTTCCACTCCGACTGTTCTTCATTTTTCTTCTTTTAAAATTTTTTATTTCTTCTTCCGTCAAATCATCTTCATCATCTTCCTCTTCTCTATAATCCCTCAATTCTTTATCAATTAATTCATAATAAAATTGCCTCCTTCTCGGCCTCCTTTCAACTGCCTTTAATTTTTCTGGAGAATTTAATTGAGAATTTTTTGCCAAAGAATATTTTAGGCTGTCAGTAAGGATAAAGTTGGGAAGGAAAACAATAAAAAGGCACACGTAAAGAATAACAAATCGGAGAAAAGAGCCGTTTTTGGCTAATTTTGGTAATAACATTGAGCTGGAAATAAATATTAGTTGAACCTCATAAAATATGCAAAAAGAGGCTGATAAAGCACGTAACGGATTAGGCGAGATTAATAAGATAATTATTATCTGTCATTATTTTATTTGAATAATGAGAGGTATTCAAATAAAAAGAGGTATTTTTAGAGCAAATAAAGGATATTTAATTAATCAAAAAGCATTAAAATATAACATCATTTTGAATACTTATTGATAAAAAATTACTAAAATTGAGTGTTCTTTCCAAATAGAAAATTTCTTTCAAAATTTAAATGAGTTTTCTTCCGTTTTTTAATCTCTAGGGAATTTTTTTTAGCAAAATTGGAAATGTTGCCAATTATTCAATGAAATAAAACATTAAAATGGAAAATAATTTTCGAATATTTTAAATTAATATAAGGACAATAGTTATAAAATTATTTTAATTAGTATTTTATTCATCCATTTTATTGGGATGCCCTAAGGCTTAAGATCCTTTGTTTAAAATTTTTTAATTTTTATTTTCTTAGAGGGCTAGTGCGCGACTTTTAAAATTAAAAATCCTGTAAAGGTTTCAGCTGTTTTAATTATCACTCTTATCTCTCAAACCTATTTTTACTGTATCACTTGTAGTTTAAGAGAATGCCGCTTTTAACTGGACCCTTTCCAGACGCATTTGCCAAATTGCTTGGAAGTTGGAGCCCAACTTTATAGCTTCTTCTTTCAATGGAGAAGATTATTTTTATGGAATGGACTAGTTTTTTAAGGGTAATATTGAATTTCATATATACCTTCAAAAGCGTTTATGAGAGAGTCTGAGTGTTTGTTTCGAAAATGCTTTAGCTAGAAGTGCCATTGAACTATAAGAAATAAACGTGAAGGAAAAAGCCTTAAATTGAGTAGGGAAAGAGAAAAATTAAAATTGAAAGTAATTGACCTGTCTGGATGTTTAAAAAATAAAAAATATTTTTTAACAAAATTAAATAAATTTAATTTTCCCTTAAACCTCAAAATTTTAAATAAATTGAACAATGAAAGTAAGAAATAAAAATGATGTAAAAATTTTTTTTTGGCAGTTTCTGCACATTTTTGGATGCTTGTTGTTGTTAGATTTAGTAAAGTGAGGGAACCCAAATCCCTCGGGAACCATTTCAAAAAAATCAAAGAAAACAAAATTTTGGCATTAGCTAAAGAACGTTTTTTTGCTAAAAGAATAAAATTGAAGGAAGCTTGCCTCAAGATTTTTTTTCAATTTTTAAATTAAAAATACTAAAGAAATGAAAAACCCCAAAGATGAAAAATAACCTAAAAAAGTAAGTTGATATTTAGTCATTAAGAATAAAAATAAAGAAGCTTCGTTTATTTATTCAGAGAATAGGCACATTTTTTTAATTTAGCCTAAAGGAGTTTGCAGAAATATTAAAAGCAAACATGGGCAATATCAAATATTTAGTAAAGTGCCCAAGAAAAGCAGCAGCAGAACACTGTGGACTGGCTCCCCAATATCTTGCCAAATTAAATCTTTGCCAAAAGGTAAAAATTCTAATCCTAACGGTATCCTAACGGTGTCGCCCCTTCAGAACCAGAAAGATTTTTTGTTTAATGCGCCGTCTGGCACATTAAAAACACATCTGTCACAAAGGTAATTAAATTTGCTTTATTAAAATATTAAAAAACGTGTTCTTTTCTCAATTTCCGTTGCCCACTCATTTCTTACTAAATTTCCTCGTACAAATATTATTAATTAGATTGCTTATATTAAAATTGCACCTGCGGCACGCGATTGTCTGTACTAATTTCAACAAAAGAAAAATATAGAAATATGGAATTGAGAGAGGATACAATGAAACATCCAGCTGGTTTGTCTATGGAAATCGTGATAATTCACTTAATGATTCATCAATGATCTTTTTTAGAAGTTCACTCACCCCTGGCAAGAAGTACGTGTACAAACAAATCCAAAATTACTAAGCACTGCCTGCTAGAGTGAATAATAATATTCAAAAACTATGATGTTTTTATCATTATTATTTTTTTTATTCAAAAAAAAACAAAAAAAACTACCCTATTATAATAATGAGGCTAAATTATGCATAAATAGCTTCCTTTAATTATACTAAAAATGAGGGAAGGAGGATATTTTTTGACGAACGTTTGTTTATTTTCGTCTCAATTTTCAGTTTATACTGAGGAAATTAGAAAAAATTTTTTTTAAATTTTGGTTTTGGTAGTCTGGAAATAAGCATGCAAAGGGGTTCAGTCAGAAGTATTGAGTCTGCTATATAGGAGATATATGGAAAATGAGATATGAAATATAGAGGATTAACTAAGCAATCTCTAAACAGAAAGTTCGAGTTCGAGATTAAAGAAATTAAATGAAAAGTTTTTAAATTAATTAAAAATTCATTATCGGATGCCAGGAAATAATTGAACATTAAAGTGCAAAAACAAACAAACAGATAAACAAGTAATGAATGTTAAAAGCTTTAAATAACAGCATAATAATTCTATTCCCTTGGGAAACTAAGGGAATGCTTAAAATGAAAATATGAATGAATTCATTGTTAGAGGTGAAGAAAAAATGGAAATTGAGGAGAATATACTAAATGTTTGTTCAAGTTTTTTGAAGAAAGCTTTCTTTCTTTAAAACTTTTGTTTTTTAAAGAATGCAAATTGGCACTAAAAAATATTTAAATAATTTATTCTCTTGGCAACATCATCCAAGTATTTTTATTATTGTTTGGCACTTGAAGGAATCATTGACTTATGAAGAGAATAAATGACGTTACAGAAATAGAGGGGTGGAAATGAAAGTAATTGAAATAAAAGGTCAAAAGTTTGGCTTGAAAGACGTGATTGGGGAAGTAAATATATCAATCAAAACATTCAATCCCGGGAGTTCAAAAATAAAATATTAGTTAAACATAAAAAACAGAACGCGACTATGCTTTATTGACAGTCTTCATAAAATAAATAATTAGTAAAAAATTTTTAAAGGAAGAAAAGAAAATTAAAAGGGTATTCATTAAATCCTCTTCTTTTTTAAAATTCATAGCCGCTATTTAAGCGAGAAAGCTGTTGTAATTTAAACATTAAAATATTAAGAATCTAGAGAGGTAAAAGATGGCAGGAATGGAATTTAAAAAATTAACATAACAAAAACTTAAAGAAAAAATTTCAGAGCATCTAACATTAATGTTTGGCATTGAATAAATTAATTAAACGCCTGATTTATTGGATTTCCAGACATGTGTTTAAATGTCTGACTTAACCGCCTGATGCTTGTCAGGCGCTTAAATCGCCTGACTTAGCCGTGATGCTTGTCAGGCGCTTAAATTTCATGACAACCGCCTGATTTTTGTCAGGCGCTTAAATCGCCTGACTTGTCCGTGATGCTTGTCAGCTGCTTAAATCGCCTGACTTAAGCGTCTGACATGTCAGGCATTTTCATAACCTTTGTCTATATAGGGATTTTAACGTGAAGCGTCTGACTTGGCATTTTCATGCGTTCGCGTCTTAGAAAGGACGCCCACTAAATTTTGGCCTTTAAAACGCCATTTGGAAGTTGTTGTGAGGAGTCAGTCAGTAAATAGTAAGGGGAAGTCTTCATATTAATAGAATGTTTGAAGATTTTGTTTTTCTAGTTGTTATAAAGATATTCTTTTTAGATGCTTAAAGCGGCATCAATGTTTTACTTGATGATTCCTTTCCTTATTCTGTTGTGCTCCTTTTTTCAAAATTGTGGTGCACCACAAGCAGCTGTAAGCAGTTTGAATGGAATTAGCATTCCACATAAAACAATTAATGCAGCAAAAGCACAATTGGGAAGTTTGGGAAATCCTCATGAGAATCGTGTTTCTTTCCCAATAAAACAAAATTCAAGCAAGTCTGGCATTAATTTGACTGTTAGTGGCCCAAAACAGCCCGTTCTTCGTACCTCCGCAAAACACGATAATCAGGATTTGTTCAGCAATGACGAAAACAACGATGCTGGTAAGTAAATGCCTTGTGCCAATTAATTAGAAAGGATTAGAAATTAAAATTAAAAGTAATCCAAATTGGGAAGTTTGGGAATTTAAAAATTGAAACGGCACATCCCTGGTATAAGGGTAGAGGTAAGATTGAGACAATAAACAATAACTTATTAAACAAATAAATTACTGAAACTTTTATCTAAATTCCTTATTCAAGATCTATTAGCTGAATTACAATATTACATCAGGGAATATGAAGAAAAGGAAAGAGAAAATGTTGCAGAAATTAATCTTAAAGATGTTGAAGAGCACAATAAATACATAGAGGAACAAAAAGAGTTATTTGAAGAAACAGAAGGAAAAGAAGGCTTTGACATTGATAAAATTTCAAAGAATCTTCTTGATAAAAGACATGGTAAAAAATTATCTTATAATTGTTGAATTTGTTAGTTTACTAATTTTACTTCGGCCTAGGGTTGGAAACAGCCTAGAAATAAAATTAGCTGGAAGCTGGGTGGTTCAGATTATCCATCAAGCTGTTTCAAAAATCGAAGAGTTGCCGAAAACTAGATTTGTCGGACACTAATTTCGTTTATTCTAATAACAACAATTAATGATTCATTAATTTTTCAGAAAGTTACAGTAAAATAAGTTCATATCAACTTATTAAAGAATTTTATGACATTGATCTGGAATATAAAATTCCGAAAAGAATTGAACAACGAAAAAATCTTGTAAAAAGTTTACTTGAAGGTTTTATAAAGATGATAAATAAAAGGAACAAGAAAGAATTGGATGGAATGATAAGCGCCTTAAAAGATGAAAATCATAAAGAAAAAAAGGGAGAATTTGATGAATTTTTACAGTATCTAGAACGTATGTAAATTAAATTTTTAATTAAAATATTTTTCAATTTTATTTATTTTTAGTGTTCGCACCCGATACGATTCTAGTCTCCTTTCTTCAAGTAAATTATTATTTTTAATTATAATTTATTAGTGAATTTTTAAAATTTAATTTATTATATAGATTCCTGATGAAGGTCGACAACTTTTGTTCGAAACTTTTGATGAAATATTAACAGATTTGAAAAATAGTAAAAACAAAAAAGACAAAAAAGGAAAGATAATTAAAGGCAATTCTCAGCATCCTGCTGTCGATTTGAAAAAATATCACGATAAATTAAACAACATTAATCTCGATGCTCATACAAAAAAACGAATTGATCAATTCTTCAAAATTGTTCAAAACGACTTTAAGCAACTACCAATATATTTAACAGAGAATTTTGCTAGTCTTTTCAGAAAAATTGCAATATTAGGACTCCCGGGATTAAAAGAAGCATTAATTCCTTACTTGGGGGTATGGAATCGTGCAGATAAATTGGATCAGCAAATGATGGCAAACGCATTTCCTAAATTGGCTTTCTTCTACAACGGTAGATTGCCAATAAATTGCTTTAATTACGCCTAATTTTTTAGGCCAATTTTTTATTTGGCCTAATTTTCTAAAAATATTTTCTAAATTTTAAAGATTCAAAATCAATGACTATGAATGATTGGGCTTATCATTCATTAAAAGGAAATTTCTTTTATAAAATTCCACTTTTGATATTGCTTAAAATGATTTTCATGAACAAGCCAAAATTGGAGAAAAATGATAGTGCTTTATTTAATGAATTGCGTGAAAAACTAAAAAATGATTTTAGCGCAAACAAGAAGCTTATTGATGAAATTGGAAACTTTTTCAACCGAGGAAAACTTCTTGTTGGTTCACCCGAAATTTTGGAAAATTGAAAATACGAGAGAGATGAACGAAGTGATATGTACATATGTATAAAAAAGTCAAAAAGGATCATTTGAAAATTTTTTAATCTTTCCCTTATTATGTAAAACAAAATTTCATATTATTTAAATTCCACATTATCATTGTAACTAACATTCTTAATTCCACATAACCACAAAACATTTCACAATTTGTTCAAAACCCACCAAAAATTAATGCTATGCATTGTTTTCTTATATTTTTTGAATGTTAACAAAGTAAAAATTTTTTAAATTGTATAATTGTTGAGTTGGCATTTTGCCTTTATTTTTTATTTACTGGGGGTTCAGGTTCCTACGGGAAAAAATTTAGAAAACAGAAAAGTAACAACTTTATATTTTAAAAATATAAACTTAAAAAAACAACAAATATTTGTGCAAAAATTAAAGCATGAAAGAATTTTAAAGAAAATGGCAAAGATTAAGAGTGGTCCTAAAAACAATATACTAATTCAACAAAAAGAGAAAATAAGAGATTAAGAACAACAACAATCCAAATAAATAGAATAAATTATATAATTTAACTGTTATATTGCTAAAGGCTTTTTTTAATGTTGATATGAAACTTGTTTTTTAGAATTAAACCGAGATAATTATCTTCAACAAAAATCCTCTTAAAAATCCTTACGTAAAACAAGAGTTAGAAGGGCCATACGTACATATTCTCCATATTCTGCTTGTTTCATAAAAACTGCTCGCTCATCTGTATCCAATTCAGTACTTATTTCGTCATTACGAGGAAGTGGATGCATTACAATTGGAGTTGGATGACGACGATCTTTTTTAAATATTAAATCAAAAAATAAAATTTAAAAAACCTGATGTTGAAAAGAACGTTTCTTGTTCCGTTCTAGTTGATGCCATATTTAGTAATTTTGGTGTGAGAATAAATTTGCCTTTGATTTTTTCATATTCTGATGAATCCGTAAAGCGTTCCTGTTGTATTCGAGTCTGAAAAAAAATAAAAAAAATTTGAAATAATTTTAGACTAAAATAATTAATTCACCATGTAAATCACATCAACATTGTGAATACCATCTTCCAGGGAAGTAAATTCTTTCTAAAAATAAAAAAAATATTTAAATGAAAAATATAAAATCATACCTGAATAATTTCTTTATTATATTGTTTAGCATATTGTTCAACATATTGTTTAACATGTTCAGGCATTCCCAAAGATTTTGATGGCGAAACATAGTGAAGAATAATACCATCATATAAACAAAGAATTTTTGCAAGTGAATGAACTGCAATTTTAGTTAATTTTCTAAAATAAATTTAAAAAAACAAACCAGTACGCCCATATTTCAGATCGCCAACAATAGCAATTGTTTTATGATTTATACTTGACAATTTTTCACGAATTGTATAGAGATCAAGTAATGCTTGAGTTGGATGTTCACCCGTTCCATCACCAGCATTTATAATAGGTACTGGACGATCTAGAGTAGATACAGCCTGTAGAGCAAGTTCACATGCATTTTTACTTGGATGTCGGAGAACTAGTAAATCTGTGTATTGTCCCATCATTTTGATTGTATCTAAAAAATTGTAAAATTAAAGAAATTGAAAATAAAGATTACCCTCAAATGTTTCGCCCTTCTTCTCCGATGAACATTCCTTCTTAAAAACATCAACTTTGCCATCCAATCGAAACATGGCATTTTTAAATGAATGATTAGTCCGAGTGCTAGGCTCAAAAAACATAAGACAAACAATAAATTGACGCAAAAATCCTTCAAATGCCAAACTACGATCACGAACTACCTTAAAATTAAGATTAAAAATTTCTTTAATATGCAAAAGACCTTCTCAAAACGCAGTGCCAGATCTAAAACCTGTTTGACCATTGGTTTTGTAAATGATTCAACGGAAATAACATTACGTCCATACCAAAGACTAGTTTCAGTAATAGACTTTAATGGACGATCTGGCGAAGGACGCAAATGTTTTTCTTCATCAGTATCACTGTATTTGACGTCAGAACTCAAATGGAGAAGTTCTAAAATAGAAGTTTAAAAAAATAAGATTGTTATTAAACCAGATGTTGGTAAAACTGATCCATCTTCATTATCATTAGAAGCAAGACGAACATTTGTACCGAATCCTGGAGAAACGAGGAATTGTCCATCAACATAAACAGTAACACCACGTATAACCACAGTTTTAACACGACCACAAACTTCTCTACCCGCGAATGGGGTCCAACCAGCTTTTGAAAAGCCTCCTTCCTTAGGTATCCTCCATATTTCACTCTTATCAACCTTTAAAATTATATGAATCACAAAACTAAAAAGAAAGCACTTCAATGTAAGTATTAGGTTGTTCAGGCAGTCCAAATATACGACGTGGATTTGTATAAAGACGATCAATTAACTGTTTCTCAGTAAGTTTTCCATCCTTAACTGCTTGAAGTAACAGAGGAAGCATGTATTCAATGCCAGGAAATCCTGGTGGTGGATTTGCAGAACATTTCTCATCCCAAGTATGTGGAGCTAAAATATCGACATGAGAATATTTAAAAGTTCTAAGTGTGTCAACCATGATCAGTAGAAAAACAATCAATGAATTCCAAATTTTCCCATAATGCTTCACAATCAGCAACACTTATGGCCAAGCGAGGACGAACTTCTTGAACTCCTTCTGGTAATTGATCTGCTGTTAAAAATAAGTGATGCGGGCAAACTTCACATGTAACGGGTTGTCCTTCAATTTTGGCTAATCTAATCAAGTTAATTTCTTCAGAGGTAGAAACATGACAAATATGCACTACAATAAAGAATTAAAAACGATAGATTAAAAAATCTTACAGGCTCTTTCACATAATTTAGCACAATATAAAACAGCAGCCAACGTTTGTCCTTCAGCATGAACTACAATTGGACGATTTGATGGGAAATTTTTCATATGTTTCATCCATTGATCCATTTTTGGTAATTGAAGGGCAGCAAATGTTTGATTCAAGTACATTTTTAAACCAGCACATTTTTGGCCTATGACAGAACCATCTTTAACATTATCCATAGTTGCACCCATATAAAGAGCATAATCACAAAAAGCTTTGGTTGAGGCGAGTTTGTCGATTAAATTGAAAGACACATCGTCGATTAACGGCGGACTCGTATTTGGCATTGCAAGCACCTAAAGTTAATTCCTTAAAATGAATCAACTATTAAAAAATTAACCATAGTAACACCACCAGATATAGCTGCACGAGTTCCACTCTCCCAGGTTTCCTTGTGTTCTCCTCCTGGTTCACGCATATGAACGTGAACATCGATCAATCCCGGCATTCGAACCAAGCATTCATTAGAAATTGAATCTATATGAAGATTCACTGGTGGCATTTTTGTATTATAAGGGGATATATTCAGTCTACTGAGAGCCTTAAATAACAATCAAATTTGAAAGAAAATAATATAAACCTGAATAAAAAGTTTAGCACATTTAATATCAGTAATGAGAGGGATTCCACTATCAATTGCCATTCTGCGAGTTTTATATCCAAATGTTCTATAAGCACTAACGCGATAAGTTCCAGATCCACGAATTGGCAAATTTATCTAAAACAAAGTTGAATAAAGTTTTAAATTGAAAAAACCAACCATAAGATCAATATTCTTTTTTGCAACATAGTCAGTTATTGTTGTATTGACAGTAGACATTTTTGAGGTTGATAAATCATTGCAATCTTCTCCCGACGTTATATCATCAAAGGGCCACTCAAGTTGTTTTATCTTAATACAAAAATTTAAAAGAATTAAAAATATTCTTACTGGAATGCCTTTACAAGAGTAATAATAAGCTGTTCCTTTACTCCCATAAAGAACATATCCGAGTTTGGATAAAATTTTGACACTTGGCAGCATTTCATCTTTAGCCTAAAAATTATAATAAACGTATATTTTCACAAAAAATATAATACAAAAGGTCCGCCGATCGACAAGAAAATTGCCCTAGTAGGTAACTGAAAACCAGTTGAAAGAAGTCCTTTAAGGTAAGCCTCTTGACGATTAAGTCCAAAGCAAGCAACCTCGCCTTAAAATTATTAAGCAATATAATAATTTATATACAATTCAAAAACCAGTAGAAAGCATTTCAACACCCATAACAACATCTGCGCCAGAAAGACGAGTAAAAGAAAATTGTGGGACCTAAAATACAATGAGTATTTGTCAATAAAAAATATGTAAAAATACCTTTACTCCAACTTTATTTGGTTTTGGTGGAGGTTTAAAAGTAAAATCCTTTGGTTCGCCAGAAAACATCATCGCCCTAGTTGCGAGACCAACAAAATCAAAATCAAGTGTTTTAGAAATGAATGGAAAACTTCGCGAAACACTAAAAAGTTAAATAGGAAAGACTAAAAACAAAATTAACCGTAAATTGCATTCAATAACAAAAAGTTTATTGTCTTTAGCAATCAGTTGAAGATTAAATGGCCCAACAGCCATAAAACGCCTAGCGATGCTTCTAACAATTTTATTAATTGAAATCCTTGTCTCCTCATTCAAATCTTGTGGAGGAGTGACTAAAGTTGCATCTCCAGAATGAATACCTTAAAAACTCTCGAAATTAAAAAGAAGCAAAAAAGCTAACCAGCATTCTCAACATGTTCAGATATTGCCATACACAAAACTTTCCCATTTAGACAAACCACATCGACATCGATTTCTTTAGCATTTTCAATAAACTTGCTTACAACAACAGTTCGCTCATCAGCTACGCTGTGTGCCACATTCAAAAATTGATGTAAATCTTCAACACAATGTGCGACGTTCATCGCAGCTCCAGATAAAACATAGCTTGGCCGAATTAAGCATGGAAAACCAACAGAGTTACAAAATGATTCGGCATCCGAAGTGTTTTTTGCATTCTTCCATTTAGGTTGTTCAATCTAAAAAATATAAAATGGTAAAAAATGTAAAAACCTTTAGTTCATCCAATGCTCTGCTAAATTTAAAACGATCTTCAGCTTCATCAATAAATTTAGGAGCAGTGCCAAAAACACGAAAATTTAATCCAGTCAAGTTAGAATCCAGTGAAAGGGCAATATTGTTCGCAGCTTGCCCGCCAAAAGCAAGAATAATTCCACTCGGTCGTTCATACTCATAAATTTGTGAAACAACTTCCAACGAAATTTCCTCAAAATAAAGCCGATCGCATTTGTCATAATCTGTTGAAACTCTTAAAGAAAATATTTAATATAAATTTTAATAAAATATTTGCTATAAAATATTTTTGATTCTTACGTTTCTGGATTGCAATTAATCATAATAGTTTGACGACCCATTCGCTTTAATTCTTCTATACATCCTACGGAACAAGCATCAAATTCAACAGAAGAACCAATTCGGTATACGCCAGAACCGAGAACAATAACACTATCAGTCTGAAAAAAATTTACAATCTACTATTTCAAATGGTCATACATTTTCATAAAAGTCGATGTCGTGTTCATTTCCATTATAAGTTAAATATAAGTAATTCGTTTTTGCAGGCCATTCTGCAGCCACTGTATCAATTTGTTTGACATAAGGAAAAATGCCAAATTGCTTTCGCAGATTCTTTACATTCAATTCAGTACTGAATATTTAAGTAAATTTAATTTTTAGATAATTTGACAAATTTAATACCTATCGATAAGTTTAGCAATTTGAGCATCTGAAAATCCAATTTGTTTAGCTTCTCTTAACAATGAAGGGAAAGTATGCTTATTATCTGTAAAAACACAAAAATTATTGTAAATAAAGAAATCAAACATTTAATTTTCTCCGAACAATATTGCGAACAATGATGTTTTAAACGTTTGTACATATCAACAATATTACGCATACGATGAAGAAACCATTTATTGATCTTGCAAAGTTTATAAACAAAGTCTATATAATCCTGACCAGCGTCACATTTCAATTCCTCAGAGAAAAGAGCTCTAGCTAAAGCAAAAATTCGAAGATCAGTTGGTTCTTGCAAATCCGCTCTTTCAACTTTTCTTTTGAATAAATAAGGAGAAAACCCTTCATAATGTTCATTAACCATTCTGAGGGCCTTTTGAAGTGCTTCTTCAAAGGAACGCCCAATAGCCATAACTTCCCCAACAGATTTCATTGAACTACCTATCTAAAAATTAATTTTCATTTTTCAATTGTTTTTAAATCAAAAACCTTCGTACTAACACGAGCAAATTTTCCCAGATCCCATCGAGGAACTTTTACAACACAATAATCCAGAGAAGGCTCAAAACAAGCTGTAGTTTCGCCAGTAACAGAATTTTGTAGTTCTGGCAGTGATGCGCCAAGTGCCAATTTAGCAGCAATATAAGCGAGAGGATAGCCAGTGGCTTTACTTGCTAATGCAGACGAACGCGACAAACGAGCATTCACTTCGATTATATAATACTAAAACGGAATAGAACTATCAACAAAAAAAAGCTAAACCTCCATATTTTCAGGGTTCAAAGCAAATTGGATGTTACATTCACCAACAATTCCAAAATGACGAATTACCCGCAACGCAGTTGCCCTCAAAATAAAGTACTCATGATCATTCAACGTTTGTGATGGTGCGACAACAATGGACTCTCCCGTATGAATCCCAACTGGATCAATCTTTAAAAAATTCTTAAATGGAAAAATATTAAAATGTCTTACATTTTCCATGTTGCAGACAGAAATGCAATTGTCATAGGCATCGCGAACAACTTCATATTCGATCTTAAAAGAAGTGCTCAAAATATTAAATTCATAAAAACCAACCTCCTTCCATCCTTGAATACTTTTATCAATAAGTACTTGATTAGAATGAGCAAATGCTTGTTTTGCAATTACATTTAATTCTTCTTTGTTTGTTGCAAATCCAGACCCTAGGCCACCAAGAGCATAAGCAGCACGAACAAGAACTGGATAACTAATCTAAGATAAGTAATAATATAAAAAATAAAAATTAATAACCTTTTCAGCAGCTTTTTCAGCATCGATAATATTTGTTGCTGCACTTCCTTCAGCAACTCTCTCGCCAATTTTTAAAATCTCGTGCTTGAACAAATCCCTGTCTTCAGTTCGAACGATAGCTTCTGAAAATTTTAGCGTTTAAAGAAGTAAAATTAAAGAACCTATAGGAGTTCCAAGAACACGTACATTAAATTCTTCCAACACTCCATCGCGAAATAGATCAATGGCGCAATTGAGAGCGGTTTGACCACCAAAAGTGCATAAAAGACCTGTCGGTCTTTCTTTTTTAATTATCTTAAAAATCAAAAATTCAACAAATTATGTAAAAATAAAATAACCTCAGTGACAAATTCTTTAGTTACAGGCAAAAAGTAAGCACGATCTGCAAATCCTTTCGTAGTTTGGACAGTAGCAACATTCGGATTCTAAAATAAATTTAATTGACAATTTTAAAAAATACTCACCACAAGAATACTTTTAATCCCCATCTCCCGTAAAGCTTTAATTGCTTGAGAACCAGAATAATCAAATTCACCGGCTTGACCTATTGATAATCCACCACTACCGAGTATCAAAACTTTCTTTTGGTTAGAGACCTCCTCTCTGAAAAATAAAAATAAAAAGGATTTTTGTTTCAAATCACAGACCGATAATTAGTAGTAAAAGCCAGACGCTCATTAATTAGCTGATTTAAATTAACAGAATCTTTTGTAGTTTTAACTATTTTCATTGATTCAACAAAAACATCAAAAAGCCACTCCGTATCGTCTGGCCCAGCACAATGTTCAGGATGAAATTGAACACTAAAAATTCTTAAGAGTTAATTAATTAAAAAATAAACAGACCTAAAATAAGGTTTGCTCTCATGAATCATTCCCTCGTTTGACCTGTCATTTGCATTTATAAATAGTTCATTCCAATTTTTAGGTAGTGAATTACGATCAACAGCAAATCCGTGATTTTGAGCAGTAATAAAACACCGCCCAGAAGAAGCATGTAAAGCAGGTAAATTATGACCTCGATTGCCAAATCTGAAGAAATGAGAATATTATACTGATGGGGAAAGGGAAAGCAGTTCAACAAAACCTCATTTTGTAAGTTTTTGCACCAGCAGCAGAAGCCAACAATTGATGTCCCAAACAAATACCGAAAATAGGTACATTTGTTCCGGAAGATAAAAGTGACGCAATTCGATTAATTAACGAGGTACATTTTGCAGGATCTCCGGGCCCATTAGAAATGAAGAGGCCATCATAATCTTAAATTATTAAGTAATAAATTTATTATTTTAAAAACCTAAAATATTAAATTCATAATCCCACGGAACAACCATAACTTTGCAATTTCTTTGTAAAAAGCAACGGATTTGATTAAATTTTATGCCACAATCAATAGCCAAAACATTAAATAGCGAAGTATCTGATTCATTGCCGAACAATTTTGGAGACTAAAAACGATTTAATAAAAATTACAATTTGTAAAACTAGCCTTTCTGCTGACAGATGCAACTAAATTTTGTTCATTAATGTTGACAAATTGAATATCATCTTGCTGATCTGAATCAACTACAATCTTAAAAGGATAATGAAAATTCGTTTTAAATTAATTTATAAAATCGAAAACCTTAGCTCTCAACGTTCCGTAAGTGCGAATAATTTTTGTAAGCATCCGAGTATCAATCCCGCACAGACCCGTAACACCTTGATCACAAAGCCATTGAGAAAGAGAAGTGGCCTTGATAAAAAAAATAAAATTAACGACAAATATAAAAAATTTACAGCTTCATAATGACTATACTCGCCCTCTTCACAAATTCTGTCGACTATCAGAGCAGCAGGCCAAATCCTATCTGATTCAAATCCACCTGTAAGAAGCTCAGGCCATTTAGGATCCGATTTGCCAAATTTTGGGACGCCATAATTTCCAATCAGAGGATAGGTAAGAACCAAAAGTTGCTGCGCATAACTGGGGTCAGTTAAAGCCTAAAAGATCAGTTAATCCTATTTATTATTAAATAAAATAAAAACCTCAATATAACCACACATTCCTGTCTGAAAAACAATCTCTCCACTAATACTTTTAGTTGCACCAAAAATATTTGCACGAATTTGCGTTTGTTTTAATCCTTCAGGAAGTTCTAAATAGAGTGTTGCAGATCTATTGATTTCCTCAAATTCATCGTTAATATTTTGTTGGATCACCAGAGAAGTCATGTTATCCTCTAAGAAAAACAAACTTATCTAAAAAATAAAGTTAAGATTTGTAAAAAAATTAAAATAATCTGAAAATTAATTTTCCGGAAGAATAGATGTTACGTTTTGTCATATTGACATTTTGATATAAATTGAATATTAGAGTACCAAGAATAAGACTCTAGCATTTCCGTAACAATCGGGCGATATTAGTTTCAAGGTTGGCGGATCCTAATATTCGGATACGCAAATAGGCCGGATATCCGGAAATTTCCGGTTCGGACATCGGATCCGGATATCCAAAGATTTCCAACTATCCGCCAACGTTAATTGCTTGTGCGAATTTATGGCCGCACCAAATTGGCCTTTTTATTGAAAAAGGCGTCTTGTAGCAGATTTTTTATCTCTTTTTCTAGGCAAATAAAAAAAATTTTAATTGTGCAAATTTTTGTTTTTAGGATGGGTTCTTATGCTGAACGTCTCGATCAATCGCTAAAAATACTTGAAAATGTTTCCGTTGATTCAACCGATTCAAAGCTTCAACCAACTTCTTCTTTAAAATCAAGGTTTTTTCTCATTTTTATTCATTTGAATTAATTATTTTAGGAGGAATCCAAAAATTTCATTTGAACCTGAAAAACATGCTTTGTCTGAGCTTTCCATATTGTTAACAAATTTGGATTCTCTTGGTGCTGTTGGAAATCAACAAATTAGCCGTGAAAAATTGAGCCGAGCGATTGCAGTTCTCTTTCAATTTATTAACCATCCTGAGCAAAGTCTTCGCTTTTTGGCTGACCAAATATTAGACGAAATTTTTAGAGTATTTTTTATTTAAAAAAATTTTATCTCTCACTTTTTTCAGAAATTTGTTCTTAAATTTCAAGCACCAAAGGTTATTGCTTATTTACTGACTGAATTGGACAAGAAGAAATCTCCTGGGCGTTTGATTTGTTCCGTTTTACAAAAATTAAGTTGGGTAGCTGTTTACACAAGAGCACAAAGAGCAGAGTAATTTATTATGCTTTGATAGATTATTTTTTATTTAGAGTTTATAATGCCCATTTTTTATGTGGAATGATTCAATGTATTCAAAGCCAGGATGATTCTGTTCAACAAGCAATTCAGCGATATTTTCCTGTAATATTTGATTATTTTGGTCCTTTTATTTCTGCTTCGCATACGGAACGGGCTACTGAATTGTTTAATGTTGCGATGAAGAATTTAAGTTCGGGTGGTGTTAAAAATAGGTTTATTTACTTATATAGACTTTTAGAATATTTTTTTAATTTCAGAGCTGCCTCGACTGTTATTAGTTGTCTTGCTAAATTTGTGCCTTCTATTCTTCATAAATCATTCTATCAACTATCTGGTCTCTTTTTAATTTTATTTTAAGAATTTCTAGCTTCCAAAAGAAAATTGGCATTTATCTAGTTTATTTTAAGATATAATCCTGCAAGGTAGAGATGATGATGAACAACATCAACATGAAATTTCTGGTGCTTTAAATACTCTTTCCGTAATTTTACCATTTGTGTTGGAAAATACGAATCAAAATTTGGCTTTCATGTTGAAAAAGGTATTTTACTTTTCTTTTACCTTTCGGGAAACTTTCGAAAGTCGAATAATTTTTTTTATCATTTTTGTTTTAGTTACTATGTCGAGTACTTTGTTGTCTTTATAGTCGCGGAAATGAAGTTGTTCTTGCTTCCCTCGAATTTTTACAAAAATTTGTTTCAAAACACCAACAATTTAGGGATTCTATTCAACAATTAGCTCAATTTGATCCTTTATTTGTTCAAATGCTTGGATCTGAGGAAAGATCTACTTTAAAGTATCGATTTTTGTAATTTTCTATCGTTTCTATTTCATTTTTTCAGATCAAATATTTATTGTGTTGATGAACAAAGACCAAGTTGTTCTAAAAGTTTTGAAAAAGAATTGGAAGAAGGTAATTTTTATAATTTAACTTTTTAAATAATTAACCCAGTTGAAACAATGAGTTGCTTCTCTATGCGGACGGGTTATTCTTTATCTAGACCAGCTAGCGCATGGAATTCTTTACAAGATTTATTGGCAGAACAAAAAATGCTTGGTTTAAATTTGGATGAACAAGCTAGCGATGAACCTGAACAAATTAGGACGACTGTTGACGATACTGAAGAGAATTATCCGAAAATTGATGAGGTATTTATAAACCTACCTTTTTCTTCTAAATAATTTAGAATCTTCTTGAGAACGACGATAATGTTTCTGTTAATTCTGCTGAATTTTTTGTTGACCCTTTAATGAACTGTCTTCATCAACAGCAAAAGTCTATAAGAAGTTCTTCATGGTCGCTTAGTCAAAAATCAAAAAATGTAATTCTTTCTTTTAAATTATTTTAATTTTTTTATTTTTAGTTAAGAAGTAATGATGGGACACTTTCTATGAGAACAAGAACTAACACTACTAGTGGACTTTTGACACCAATTTCAATTATTAGTCGGTCTGTAGGTCAAAAATCATTTGAAGATCAACAATATACGAGCTCTGCAGTATCTAGTGAAGAGAATCAAGGGATTTTGGAATTTCTTCCTGACAACTTTTGTAAGGGTATTCCTATTTTATCAAACTAGAAAATGTTTAAGGCAATACTGGTGTCAATTTCTGGATTTATTCTTCATTATTTATTGCTAAAAAATTTTTATTGGCTGGCAAAGGAAGAATTCGTTCTAATCGTGAAGTACGAGTATCTCAAAAAATTATTGCCTTGAATTATATCTCGGATTCTTTGCTCATGGAAAGTTCAATTATTCATCAGCCGATATTTGATTGTATTATTTTTTGGTTATTTTTAGTCTTATTTTTGCATTTTAAGCTGATGGCCAACAATATTCTCTTCTTGATCTTCATCTTTATATTGGCAATGATGATGATAATTTGGCAATAGCTTCTTTAAATTTTTTCTTTAATGTTGAGAAATGTTGTTTTTTCAATGATCCTTCGCAATTTGATAAACTTTTTGTTGAGAAAAGTATGAAAAAATTTTTTCTATTTTAAAAAATTTTGAATTTAAGGCAAATTAATTTGGTATCTCAAAAAGACTCTTCATTGTCAACGTAATTCAAATCGTCTCAAAGGAATTTTTCAAATATTTATCAATTCAATACCTTTTCTTTGCTCAACTGAAAGTTTGTTGTTAGCATCTTGTGAGTATGCAATTAATGCAGTTGACATTGATTATTTTCGTGTTAAGGTTTTCTGGATTCTCTTATTTTATACTTTATTACGTTTTTAGGCAGTTAGAGCTGAATTTATTTCTCAAATAAAATGGTCTTATACATCACCACAAATTCGTCAAAAATTGTTAAATGAATTTTGCCGTGTTTTTCTTGTCCAATTGTTTGATAAAGATCCTCGGGTATTTGTTTATTAAATTAACATTGATTTAATTGTTGTTTTCAGGTTCAAAAAGCAACATTGGATGCTTTGCCTTTGTTCGTTTTAAATATTGCTCTCTGTCAGAATACAAATATTTTTGCGCCATTTTCTCTTCCCCATTGTTTAGAATCACATTCTCCATTACCTGTGGTATTATTTAATTTTTTTATTATTTTTAGCTAGCCATTTTTAAGATAATTGGCTTAAATGATAAACAACATTCCTTTTTCCAAACAAAAATCTGTGATGAAAATTTCTTTTTTATTTTTAACAAAATTTATTCTCTTACTATGGACCAATTTTTTGATAAAAAGTTTGGATTCGTCTCTGCATTGGAAGTGCTTATTAATAATTTTCCGCAAAATTATTTTTCTTTAATTAATGAGAGACAATTTGGAGGGGTCACAAAAGAAAAAGGAAGGTTCTGAAAAATTTTTATGGAAATTCTTAATAAATTTGTTTTAGTAGGTCGTTGACTAATTCTCAAAGAGGAGAAATGCCATCTGTTTATAGTATGTTTCTTCTACTTCTGGATTTTGCAGAAAATATTATTTGTTCATTAGAAGAATTTGGAGTATTCATTAGACTAATAACAAAATTGTTTTCAGGTTTCTTTTTACATTTTAAACAAAAATTTTTTTTCTAGATTATGACTAAAATCTAGTTCTATAAAATCATTAAATTAAAATTAAATCTTCATCTTTTAGCAATATCAACTTATCTTATTAATAAAAATTCTATTCTCAATAATACCTCAACTCTTTTACAACTTTGGAATATGTGCCAAACAAATAATGAAAATGCTCAACAACCTTCAAAATCCAAATTTCCCAACACCAATTGTATTGAACGTTGTTTGTTGCTTTATTTGAGAACTTTAAATTTATTTTACTCTATTGTTGCTGAAGAGAAAGTTAGAAGACATAAACTTTTATTGCATCGAACGGGACTGATAGCTGGTAATTATTAATTTAATATTTACTAGTTCATAGAAACATTTTTCAGAAGGATTTGTAAGCAACGCTGCTTTTCTTCTATCAAATCCATCTTCCCTTATCCTTCCTGAAAAATCTGATTATTTTTCTAAGACTGCCAAATCACTTTCAAATACAACATCGCCAAATGCTAAAGCAATAAATCTTTCTTTTCTTCTTGGTTCAACTTCTCAACATCATGGACGTCGTCAACTAACTAGTTATTCTAATTCAATTGTGTTGACCTCTCTTGAGATGCAATTACGAAATTCATACAAATCGTTTTTGGTATGTGAGTTATTAAATTTCTTAATTCACTGATTTTTTCAGGAATCTCTCAAGCCTGATTTACACAGTCGTTTTCTCGATTTATTTAATTCAACAATGGATGGATTTTGTACATTTTTGGAATTTGCCGATTTTTCCTTAATTCGTCCTTTCATTGACGAATTGGTTATTTTCTTACGGATATTGGTATGTTTGAAGAAAAAAGTAAACATTTAAATGATTATTTTAGATGGATATATCTCCTGAGAATTCTGCTCGTTTAGTCAGTCAATTGATCAAAAGTGCCTTTAATATTAATTATTCTTCTTTGAAACCAATACATTCCAATCCTTTGTGTCAAATCAAAATTTGGGAAGAGCTGACAGATTGTAATAACGGTTCTTTTCTATTTTCATTTTGGTTTTTATTTGTTCCTTTTAAAGCTGCTCCATTAGAACTATTTAAATTTGTTCAATCTTTCAATACTTTTATCAAATTTTCCCATCGTTCTGAATTTTCATCATTGCTTTTAGAAGAAATGGCAGGTTGGATGCATTCTAATAGAATGAGATTACCTCTTGTTACTATTGTGGTAATATTATTTTTGTTGCATTTTTAGCCTTCTAAAACTTTCTTGTTAGGATGAAACTCAACAAGAACAAATGAATAGATTATTGCATCAATTTGAACCTTTTCTCTCGCATTTACTCAAATTATATCCATTGACAAATTCAAATAGGACGAGAAAATCTGTATGATTGTTTAAATATTTTACATAGTTTTATTTTTTTTAGATCCTTGATTGTATCTTCATTCTTTGCCTTTGTAATGTACGCTATGAATTGCTTGATGCAAATGGGAGATTCAAATCAAAAATAATTTCTCAACTAAAACAATTATCTCCTGAAGAAGATGCTGCTATTCTTCCTTCTATGTTCATATTTGTTCTTTTGGTAGTCCGCGTTCGTTGTCTTAAATTTTCTGAGGTTTTTCTGTTATACTTTTTATTTATTTTAATGTTTACTTGAATAGATTGGCTTGGTTATTGAACAATTATTTGCACGAATGGATCATAAAATCTGCCATTGGTCACTCGAAGCTTTTAAAATTATTATTTTTGATATACTTTCTCAATGTAGTCGGAAATCTCGCATTTCTGAAGATCATAAAAGAATTTTAATGCTATTGAAAGATGGTTTTTTAAAGGTTTTGATTTTTTACATAATTTTATTTCAATTTTGATTTTTTTCTAGATTTTTTCAATGACTTTTCAATTATTTCCTGAAGCATCTGCAGAGTTATGGATATGCCTTTTACACGCTTTTAGGGATCATTTTGATAGTGAAAGGTTTCCTCTTGTTTATTATACATATATCTTATCATTTTCTAAAGTCTGTCAAATACATCGTTGGACTTTATCAACCATTATTTAAAATTTTGCGAAAAAATGGCTGTTAGTGGGGGAGAATTTACTACACCACAAAATTCACCAACTAAAGAAACAACGCCTCAACTAGATGCTAATGAACAATATTCTTTTTTAAATGGACATTCTAACATAAAAAGCAATCTTATCCCAAATCTAACTCGTCAACTCTTTTTACATTCTGCTTTGATTAGTCAATGTTTAGCTTCTACTGAATTGTAAGTTGAAGGATTAAAGTTTTTTGAGTTTTTTATTATATTTAGCAAAATTAATAATTTTCTCAACTGTTTAAATGGATTGTTAAAACAATTAGTTAATGATTCGGAATTATTTAACAAATCCTTTAATAATTTGGCCTTGCATATTTGTCCACTAATTTTTGTGCTATTTAATCATATTGATGAAGAAAAATTGTTAAATTTTTGGGAACCTCAAAAATTGGATTTACTTGAAGAAAATATAAATTCTAAAAATTTGGAAGGATTACCTAAATCAGTGGAGACTACTTACATTGATTTTATTGCAAAGTAAAATTTAAATTGCTGTAGAATAATTTAAAAATTATCTTGCAATTAGAAGCATAGTGCATCTCCTATTTCGTATTGAAAATTATATTTGCTCTGAAGGGTTTTTCGTAAACGGTGGTGATTTTCAAACTTCTAAAAATCATATTTCTCATTCCGATTCACAAGCTACTCTTTTGTTTTTAATTTTTACAATTCAGCAAACAATTAAATCAGGTATATTTTTAATTATTTCTTTTTATTTTTAATAATTTTAATTTTAGCTAAATCCTCTCACCTTTCCTCTTCATTAAAAAAGCATTTGTGCATCAGTTACACTTCTCTATCAAAAAATGTTTATGTTAAATTGGCACGTATTTCACCTTCTATATGGTCTTTTTGGATGAATCTACAGTTTATTGTTTCGAATGAAATTTCTTTTGGGTAAATAAATTTTTTCTAAATTTCTAATTTCAAATTCAATTTTAAGAGATTTTGTTGCTTTACCTTCCAAATGTAAATCTTTTCTTGTTCAACTTTTATGCTGGAAAATATTTGAAATTGCAACTGAGTCAGAAGCTGAAACCCTATTTATTTCTATATTGGATTCCTTAAAATTGTCCTCTTCAAAAGCTGATTTTCTTTTGGAATTTTTACGAACACGAGATGAAAAAGTGTTTAAAAAATGCTTAAACAAGTTACCTAAAAGAATATTAGCTTCTATTGAGATGGAATTGATTCGAGTTTTTTGTCAAAATTGGGGAGAAGATGTGTTTATACCGAATATTGAATTGGTAATTTTAAAAATATTTTAAACTGTTTAAAGAAAATAAATTTTAGAGTAGTCTTATCCCTCGCCTTTTTTGTATTTTGGCCAAATCAGAAAATCAACAAATTATTAATTTACTTACAAGAATTAACGAAATTCCTGAATCTAATTCTTTTGACCGTTTTAAAGTTATTTGGGCTCATTTTTCGAATAAGGTAATTTATTTTTTTTATATTTTAAAACATTTATTCATACTTTTTTAGCCAGAACAGACATTTACTCTTCCAAGTTATAAATTTACTTCTAAAGAGTTTTCAATTTTGCATGACAACAATGTTTCAATAACCCAATTTTACAAAACATTACTTTTACATGCCTCAATGCCAGACGACTTTGAACAAATTATTGAAGGAATTTTAACTCTTTCGGAGGAGGAAATTGGGGATATTCTTAAAGCTGTAAATTTTAAATTTATTTTTATTTAATTTAAAATTTAATTTTTCAATGACAGCGTCCTCCATGGCCTTTAAGCAAAAAATTTTTTGAATGTTTTTTTCTTCTATTGACGCAAAATGCATCTAATTACGACATGTCGGAGGATGATAATAATTCTACCCAAAGAATTGAGAAGATTATTCAAGTTTTGTTTGAGCTTCTACTCAAGACGAAGAATAAAAGAAAATGTTTTGCAGCTGAAAATGTTTTTATTCTAGCAAAAATTGATGCGTTGAGGAATTGTTTTAGGCCTCAAATTCTTCAATTTCCTGAACAGGTTAAAAAAATTTTTTTAATAATAAAACTTTTAATGGTTTTAAAGTTATTTTCTTCATCCTCAAATTTGTTAGAACGATTTTTGAATGACACATTTGTTCAATTATTTTCTTCTTACTATTCCAATGATGAGGAATTGCCTTCAGAATATTTTGTTGCTTTTAAATTGTTTTTTTCTCTTTATGATGTAAAGGATTACTTTGCCAAAAATGATTGTAAAACATTAAAAAGTCTACTTTTATTTTTCACACTTCTTTGGGAGCATGTAGAGCAGGTTTTTTAAATATATTTAAAAAAATTTTATTTAATATTTTTTGATTATTAAGCAAATTCCACATTGGAGGCGACTAAATATTGATAAGCGTCATTGGCCAGTTCAAATTGAAATTGTTTCTGGGGAAGTCGGATCTTGTATCGGTAATTGTTGGCAAGAAGAGGAACGAGAAGAGTTGGAAGAATCAATCAAAAAAGTTTTTGTTCTTGTACAACGAATTGTTTTTTCTTTAAAAAATGATTTGTTAAAATGTGAAGAAGCAAAAGAAGCGTTTACAGCTTTGTTAGCAAATGTTTCTTTATTTCATAGAATGGCTTTGGTTCCAGAATCGGCACTTAGGTTTAATTAAATTATTTTTCAATATTCTTTTATTATTTTAGATTGGATTGGCAACTTTTAATTTCTGTAAACGAGGAAGGAAGATGTTTTATTCCACTTATTCAAATACATTTGCTTAATGATTTTAATGTATTACAAGATTTTTGTTTTAGAATATTTTCTTTTGGTGAGCATTTTAATATTTGAATTTATTTTATAAAATGTTTTGAGGCATTTATTTGCCATATATTCTGATAACTCATAACTGAATATATTTTTTTCTAAAGGTTGGTCTTCTCGTTCACAATTTGAGGAATACTCTATGTCTCTTTTCGGGGTGCTTTCTTCAACTCCAACTACACTTACAGAGCTACAACAGCGAACTGAATCAGATGGAATTAATGCAGCACATCAGCAATTAGCTGCTTCGAGTCTAGCAGTTGAAGCCTTGAGCTGTGTTTTACTCCAATCTCTTCTCTATCCGGTTTTTACTTTAACTACAAATTTTTATTTTTTTAGAAACCTGGTGATTTAATTGATAGTTTTTTTGTTGTTATACATCGCAAAAAACGAGAGAATTATTTGTTTTTGGACACAGAGTAAATTTATATTTTTTTAATTTATTTAAAGTAATTTTTATAGACCTGGCAAAATAGCTATGAGAGCAAAATTTCTTACAAATTTGCTTATTGAAAACGGTCAAGTCTCGATGTCAAATCGAGATCTTTTTATCGAGAATTTGGAATGTGTTGATTCTAGGGTATTTTTTTAACAACTTTTACATTTTAATATGTAAAATTATAGCCGGGGAAGCAATATGGATTAGGTCAAGCTGCTTTATATCATCTTTGGTCAGTTACTGGTTTACTTGAATCTTCTGCTTCTAAAGATATTGTCGAAGTTCCTTCTTCTTCTACGTTTTATACTACACACGATGAGGCGGAATCTTCAAGTTTGAGGTTATTTTGTTTATTTCCCATGCTTATGTCAGAAGTAGGGCTGTTCATGGCGGTTGATTTTTGCCTGTCGGGACTCGAAGCTCTTATTATTCTCCATTTGAGCCGCCACAGGCAATTATTAACCGGTCATAAACAACCCCCAGTTATAAGATTAATAACAATTTTTGGATTTTCCTTATCTATCATTTTAAGGAATTTATTTTTTTAGTCCTAACGAACTTCTCAATGATGAGTGTGACACTGCTTCCTCACTTCGTGCACTTTTTGAAACTTTTATGCATTGGTTAAATTCATCAGGATCTATTTCTCATTTACCTCTATCAATATTACATTCTACTTTGCGTTCTTTATCTTTATTGTCAGATTTATTTCAAGAAAAGTCTTTCTACATACAAACTTTTTCGACAATTAAAAGTTTGTTGGCCAACAATCCGGTTAATTTAAAATTAATTTTCTGTTTTAATTTATTTTTTAAGTTTTTATTTACTGATTCAACCTGTAAAGGATATTCATATTATCTATTGCTTAAATGTGCTTCTGTTTTGGATTGGATGGAATTGGCTGATTCTGGTGAAGTGGTAAATTAATATTTTTTTCTTTACATGGAAGTGTCTTAATTCTTTTGAATTTTTAATAAATTTTAGTCAACTGCCAAGTATATTGAGAGTATTATTCATTCTGGATTTTTACAACAAGATGATAAATTTGTTCAAAATTGTTCTCTTCATGGACTTTTATATTTATCACAATCATTAGCATTAGACAATTTACACAATATAATGTCAATTTCTTTTGATTTTGTTGTAAAAGAATTGAAACAATTGAGACAAGAAGGAATAAATTCTTTGGATTAGTAATAAAATGTTTTATATTTCAAATTCTAATTTTTTTTTTTAGTTTTATTTTTTATCAAAAATTATGTTGGGCATTTGCCTTTGGAATTTTACAAGAAGCTGTTCCTTTATCTAAAAATTCACGTGATGAATTTCTCCAATTAATCAAGCTTATGTTTATTGACCCTCATTTACCTGACTGGCTAAAATCTTTATTAACCCATGGTATTGAATCTTTAGTTCTTCACAGTTGTAGGTATGCATAAAATAATTTTTTCAGACAAATTTTTTTAATTTTTTAAAGTTATGCTTCTAGTTTCCGTCAAATTGCCTTAGAATATTTTGATACATATCAACTTCAACCTGGACATTTGCCTTATGCTCTTTCAATTTATTTTACTTGTGCTTATAGAGAATTAAACGAAGGTGGAGAATATACCTATGCTTTCAATAAAAGTTTTGGCGAAGATTTTCTTAAAATTTTGAACATGTATTGTTTAATAATTTAATTTTATCTTTTTATTTTTTAATTATCTAGATTCTCATTCTTCTCAAATTCTCCAATAGAATCAAAAGTTCTTTCAATGTGTCATCTAATTTCTGATCTTGTTTCATTTGTCTGGGCAAAAGAAGTTGTTTTAGAATGTATTTGGACTGTTTTGATGCCTCCACTTACTCCAATAGCTTGTAAATATTTTTAGATATAATTTTAAAAGGAAAAATTAAAATGTTTTATTTTTCAGCACCAAGAAAGCCGACATCGTCCCCCTTTTCTTCTCAAAATGATACCAATGATCAAAGACTGTCAACTGATTTTTCTGATCCATTGCAATATCCTTCAGAGTCTTATAGGTTTTAACATTTTCTGTTAAGCGCACCACTTAATTTTTTTCAGCATTTCTGATAACAAACCTTTACTTCCTCAACAACTTATTTTGAGCAAATTTGATCAATTTCTTGTTCAATTAATTTTTTTTATTTTGAGAAAATTGTACAAAACTGACAGGTAATTTTAATATTTTAAAAATTCATACGATTTCTTTAAATTTAGAAAAGTTTGTTATGAATTGTTGGCAAATTTTTTTATTCCAAAATTAATGAATAGAATAGAAAATTCATCAGAAATGATAAGATATTTAACTTTGATTTTACTTTGTTCAACAACAAACAATGAAGCTAATAGTAAAAGGTTTGGAGAAAATTTTGAATTATTCGTAGATATCACTTTGTAGTAGGAAGTTGGGGGTCCTCTCTGGATTAAACCTAAAAATTGAATTTGCAGTTAAAGTAAACGGTGTTCCTTTGTGATAAAACATCCAATTTTTGTTTTGTATTCTAGAGGAGTGATCATGGGCGAATTTCCTCTCTCTGTCTTGTGATAATACTAAATTTTAAATCTAATCTTTCAATTTTAAGAGTCCATTTCTTGTTTCGATCTAATCCTTTTGATTCTGAATTTTTCAAAGCTGTTTTTCATTCTGATTATATCAACAAATTAATTAACGACTTTTTGGATGAGGTAAAAATTTTTTTAAATTTACAAACAAAAATGTTTTTTATCTTCAAGTTTGATTCTTTGAAACTTGTTGAAGATCAAAAGAGGAGTGAGCTCTTAGAATTTTTTCTTTCAACATTATCAATAAATTATATTTAATTTCTAAAAATTATAAGATATTAATAGAGCTTTAAATTAATAAATAATTTATTTTTCGAAGGTAAATTTTTAAAAAGGAAACAATTTTTTGATATTTTTTATTAAGGAAATTCCATTTTTAGAGATCTAATTTGTATTAGCTTTTCGTAAAATTCAAAAACATCTGCTTAATATGTATATTATTTTTGGAATTTTTTCGAAAAAATGAATTTTTCAGAATTGCCTTTTCCCAATTCGTCTTAAAAGCAGTGAATTTGAAATTACTAGAAGCAGATGTTTTAATATTTTAATATCGGGTCTTTTGGCTCTATTTAATTATTTTAGAAACTCTAAGATTTCTTTAAAATCATAAATTCTAAACATGTAGAGGCTATTTTATCTTCTCCACAGAACACGTAGGATCTGATCTTTTATCCCTTTATAAGAATCCGTATTAACTAATAAATTAACTAATTATCACGCTTAAGATATTAATCCTTAATAATAAATAATAATTATCTGAAAATGCCAAAATCCCTGTATGATTTGGTTCTACTCTTTACCGCAACAAAAGCAGCTTTCAGCATTCCAGCTATTTTTCTAAATTGTTCCCTAATCTACGTCACTATAAAATCTAAATGTCTTCGTAAAGGGTTATGTAACTGGCTTTTGGCTATTTATGATGGCTGTTTGGTAGTTTATCTGGCAACATTCCCTTTAGCGTTATTCCAACATTTACTGACCAAAAGTGATTCGATGCCTTTTTGGAAATGTTTTCTGCTTCAATCAGTTCCCCTCACACTTTTTGCAGCTTCTTTCCCATTTATGTTAGCAATCGCTCTTGACAGATTTATTGGAGCTGTGTTTCCATTAAAGTGAGTATTTTGTAGGTAATTACCAAACCTCCGAATTAAAGATACAAATCGTTGAAAAATCCCTACTATATTGGAGCAGTATTTCTTGCCTGTGGTTTCTACGCAACCTTCTATTTTGCAATTTCTGTAAGCAATTTAATTCGTTATTATAAAAGGTAAAATATAAATAGAAATCCCTGTGAATTAATTTGTATTAAAGTTCAATAAGTTGTTCAATGATTAATTTGCTTCTGAGCTATCAACGAATTATGGCTATAACAAATATCCTTTTAGAGGCCATTGCAATAGCTTTATATGTTGGAATTGCAATAATTATATCAAGGAGGAAGTCTACTATCAAAAAACTTAGTGAATGTATGTTTGGATTTTTGAAGATATTTTCAGCGTAACTTGGCCCCTTTCCCAGTTTTGGCCCTATATTCTGTGTTAGCCTTTATAAACGGCACGGCCGTATGTTTAGCTAGAACCTATAACTGGAGTTAATATAAACTGGAGTTAACATTAATCCTAATCCTTTTCCCTCTCCTTATAGCATCATTTGATCGCCGTATCTTTAAATCCTTGTTTGCAATTGCGTCATTTGACTTTATCGGATGGACCAGCAATTCTAGTGTAATGATTATTCTTGGATTTTTAAATTTAGATGCATTTACTTATTACAAAGTCTTAAGTTGTATAAGCTATTTAACATTTATTTCTGCTTGTTCAAACGCCCCTCTACTTTATTATTTCAGGCAAGTTTAGATAGAACAATGTTTAAATGCATTCCCCTTTAATTTCAGCGCTTTATACCGTCAAGCATTTAACAAACACTTCCCATTCTTAAAACAAAAAAATAAAATCCTTTTGCGGAAAAAGAATGTCAGGATTGTGCCAATGCTTTCAACAGTTCAGGGAGGATTAGATAAACATGTTACAACAAGTGGAACAGTTTAACTCTTGAAATTTTTAATGATTTAATAACAAATGTTGTCCAAGAATGAATTAATAAGACAATAAAAAATATCTTTTACTTCAAAATTTACTTGAAAAATCCAAAATTTACTTGAAAAATCCCAAATTTACTTGAAAACTGTTTACATATCCCATAAAAATGTAAAAAATGGTGTTTAAATAACATCAAAAAACTTTGTGAATATATGGAGGTTACAGGAGGTAAGAAATTTTAAAAATTTTTAGATAATATCGTTTGTTCAGATTTTCTTAAAAATCAAGCTTTGTTCTCTCCCAAAAACTTCTTGTTCTCCCACAGAACTTCACATAGAATCAAGCGACCGGCTTGACCGGAATTTGATTTCCAGTTTGACCAAACAACGAGTTTTTCACTTGAGGGGCCGAATTTACTTTGGGAACATTCTGCTGTATTTCATCACCAACTTTCAGCGCCAATTCAGTAGCCTTACGAACTTCCTCATTGAAGGCTTTCTTCTTCAATTCTTGATCCAAATCATCATTTCCTTCACTTAACAAATCTTTATCTTCAGCTTTTTTCATCAAGTTGCTATTTAATTCATTCTCTTTAAAGTCGTCCACGTCTGATTCTTCGGGTTTATCCTCTTCACTGGCTTCTTCACTTTTCTCGTCCGATTCAGCTTTATCTAACGGAGAGTTAGACAAATCATCCTCATCATCATCACCAAGACTATCGTTATCAAGACCATCATCATCAGGACTATTATCATTATCAAGAATATTATCATAACCTTTTTCAGCTGGTTTTAATGGAGTGAACTTTTTTAATGGAATGGACTTGCTACCCGAAGTTTCCAATCCTGAATAAAAATTTTATTATATTTAGTAAAATTTTACTTCATTTAGTATTACAGGTTTGGCTAAAATCAAGTTTACTACCTTTATTTCCAATTGGTTTCTTGGAAAATTCCTCATCGTCATCCTCTGCATCCCAATCGTCTTCTTCTGAATCCATTTCAGTTTTTCCTTTTCCACCAAACATATTAGAAGCTAATGGGCCAGGAACTGAGGGGATCGAGGAGTTTGGCAACTTATTTTCAACATTTCCTCGTGGCACAGGGGAGGAAACATTTCGGCGTAAGGTTTCAAATTTAATTGGAGAGTGTTTTTGTGGGGTTTCAGCAGATTTTGGTTCAGAAGCATGTTTTCCACCAGATAAGAATCCAAGAGTTTTAGGCATATTTGCCTTTAGGCCAACAAGTTTCTTTAAGGGTGAAACAGCAGCATGTTTCGCACCATGTAGTTCATGCGCTTGTTTGACTTTAAAATTTTTTTAAAAATTATTTTAAGATAAAATAATCTAAAGATCATTCTTATAATCTTAAAGGAAGTCACTCAATGTTAAGTTTTGGACTTTAAAATTAATTTTACCATTTAAGAGTCCAGACTTTGCTTGAGCATTTTTAGGCTGGGGGTGTGCAACAGCAGGTTTCTTTGAGTGTCCAGAATTTGTTTTGGGTAAAGCAGCAGCTTTATGCGCCTCTTGGACTTTAAAATTTTTAAAAAAATAATTTATTTTTCATAAAAATAATCTGTAACTACTTTTTTTTCAAAAACATAATTTTATTTTACAAAATATTAAAATTAGTAGACCTGCATTAAACAATTCATCCATTTCTTTTTTAAGAGTTTCATCGCTATTTAAAAGTTTCTTAATTTGAGCGTTCAATTTTTTCATTTTTTCTTTATTTTCTTTTTTCTTTATTTTCTTTTCGTTTTTAGATAGTTTCTGATCTTTCGGTTTTGGGTTTTCGTCTTGATTGATTTTTTTACAAACCTGGCCTAAAATTTTCCAATTTATTTTTAAAATACAGCCGGACCTTATAAGATAACCCAATTTAACCCTAGAGGCGATGCCTCTAGGTTTCGGAGCACCACAAACACGTTCGGGCGCCCGAACTTAGATTTTTCCCATAATGTTGTTCCCCACTACAGGTTGGCCCAAAATTAACCGGGCACACTGTTTTTGGCATAAATTTATTCAAACTAAAGATAAAGAGATCAAATAAAGATTAAATAAGACTGGGGTGTTCCCGCTTATTTTATATTTAAAAAATGTTACTTACATGTAACTGCTTTAACAAGTTTTGCTTTGTTACCCTGTTTAATTTCTTCTGGGTGTTGACTCATTTCAACCAATACATTTTTGACTTCAGTTTTGAGCTTGTCATCTTCGATCAACTTATCATTTGGCTTGTTTCCATGAGCCAATTTGCTTGCTGCATCTTTAGCGTGTTGAGCTGCTTTCTTTGCACCATGTATAGCGTGTTGAGCTCCTTTTTTTGCCTCGTGTATTTTGTTAGAAGTTTGTTTTCCTTTGTTTTGTTTCGAAACTACTTTTTGCACAGCTGGCTTTCCTCCTCCTTCCTTTTCAGTGGTTGCTGTTTTCTGACCAGCTTTTGGATCAGCTGATTTAATAATAATGTTTAAAGAAATTAATGTTCATTATTTAACGCCTAGGGATTTCTAAACGTACAACACTACACAGCTTATGCTACCCTTATATAACTTAATTTACAAACCATGCAGTTGAACTATAACCGCCAGCAGAACAACAGCCAGCAGAAAAAGGGTAGACGAACGCATATGGGGCGGTCAAACAATGCTTTAGGCTTTTAACTTTAATGAATTTTAAGAGAAGTTGGGGGAGGAATTGAGTAACGAATGTTGAATTTTCAAGAGTTGGGGGTTCTTAAAAAGGAACGGCTGCGAGCGTTTTTAGAGGAGGGACTTAAATTCGACACATGTATAAATCGAATTTTTAAGTCGAATTTTCTCTAAGCCCCTCTTTCTTTCAATATTTCATTTTATCCTTATCTCTTATCATATAGCCCAGCCAATCAAATATTTCAATTGAAATCAATGCTTTAATGGCGATTAAGGAGACGTCGACTAAGAAGAAGCATGGGCTGTCAAGAAGGTGGGGGAAATAACGAGTCGAATAATTAGGGGAGAAGAGATGCCAAATTGGCCAATGTATAATGAAGAGGCATGTAGGGGGGATATTCTCGGGCAGTCAATGCCAAAAAGGGCAATCATGAGAGAAGAAAAGCAAAATGATGTGCGCAAAATTATTAAGAAATTATTAAAACATATTAAATTAAATTGAGGGGAATTCAAGCTCTAATTAGTTTTAAACTCATTGACAAGAGATTTCAAGAAGCTGCACGTTTATGATTCCATCATCTCTATTCAATACGATACAAATAATATAAACAAAACTATAAGACGGGGTTCTATATTCAACAATAGAGGGTTCTTAGAGGGTCCGTTAAAGGGTTCTTATAGTTGTCCAGAGTTGTGTACTACAAATAGCTGGGTCTTATCCGGAGAGGATTTAAGCCTAGTAGAATCCCTATGGATATTTCCGACAGGATGTTTCCTCCCAGAAGTAATCGAAAAATATAATTAGAATTGGCGTTAAAAATATATTTGCGCACACCCATGGGAAAATCTTATGAATAATTCAATAACATGTGAGTTGGGGAAGACAGCTTAATCATAAGATTCCGGCAAGACTGCTCATGTATGCGAGCGTTAAAATAGATAAAATTTAATTGATTTTTAATTTTATATATTAATTAATTTAAATTTATTTAAAAAAGTTAAAGAAAGTTGGAAATTTAAAAGCTTCCTTAAGACGATCTCGACCTTGTTAAGGAGTTATTGTATGTTTTGGTTAAGAGATGAGTTGGGAGAAGTTGGGGGGAGTGATGAGGGATTCAAATGAGCAAGACATGAGGGTAGAGGGTGCGGGAAGTAAAGGGGGAACTTCCAAAAGTAAAATAGGGGAAGCCTAACTTCAAAAATCTTAAAGACACAACTAAAGTAATTTTAAAGCCAGATAAAAATTTTTTATCTAGAAACTATCAAAAATCTAATACAAAATTCATAAAAAATTTTAAAAATTAAAGTAATTAATATGCTTATTTTTTTAAATTAAATTATATAATTCTTTTACTCCTTTTGTGAATTAAAAAGTCTATACAAAATTAATTGTCTACTCATTGTTTGAATTAATTGTTGGGTTAATAATGGATGATTTCCGGATATTAGAGAAGCTAAAATATTTTTTAAATTAATTTAAAGTAATTTAAAAAAAAATATTCACCAGTTTCCCTTTGTAAAGGTATATTTTTAGTTGATTTTATTGTTGGTGAACACAACCTTCGCAAATTTGTTTCTCCTGTTGAGTGTGAATTGTTGCCAATTGAAACAAAGAAAATTGAGATGGGAAGGAAAGAAGCCTTGGAAAAATATTTTTTGAGAATTTTTTGAAAAATAAAAATTTAATACCTCAACAATGGTATCGATAGTATCACTTGGATCCCTAAGCTGCCCATTAGTTAAAATTATAAGTGAAAAATGAATGCTTGCTTGAGCCTTCTGCGCGACTTTTGCCAATCTAAAAATTAAAAAAAAACTCAAAACTTATCAAAATTTACTTGATAACATAATGAATGACTTGAGAATATTGTGTAGGTGCAAATGGCAAAAGAGATAAAGAAAAGTTTTTGTAGCAATTTAAGATATCTGGAGTGCTTCTAAGCCAAGGAGAGTCCAAATTACCATTCTAAAAATGAAAAAACAAAAAACTGGTTATCTCAAAATCACAATGGTATGAGGATTTTCAAGACCCATGCCTTTTAAATTTATATGTGATCTTCAAGAGGCTGTCAGAAAAAATTCTGATCACCCTCAAATGAGTGAAGGGAACGTCTCTCACCTTATGTCCCTTCAACCTAGTATATGTTCCCTTATCCCCTTTAGCACTACTTTGTATAATCGATGTTTATTGAGGTGAATCGGAATATCCAGAGGTGACTGAAATCGAAACTATGACCAAGGAAATTCTAAAAAAATGTTCAGAAACCGAAAGAAAATAGAACATGGAATCCTAACCAGAAAATGGAAAGCGGAATCCCGAACCTCTTTTGTAAATAAAAATTTTAAACAAACCAGAGCAAAAAGATTTGAAAATTGAAAAGATGGAGGTAATTTAGCACCAAAACCTAGCAAAGCTATTCTTCGCAATCTGAAAAATAAAAAAATAAATTCCAAAAAATTTAAATTTCATACTTATCAATTCTAGAAAAAGTTGTTGAAACACCTTCTAAAACATGCGAATAAGCATTAGATATGTGTGGATGAACTGAAAAACGGAAAAGAAATTAAATAATAACCTTTTTAAATTAATTAGTAACTAAAATGTAGAGAATCAGGAGAATTTGGCCCTCCATTATTCGAAGTAAAATCAATTGCTATAGTTGAATAAAATTGATGGCCAGATTTAATTAAGTTAATCAAGGAAGGCACAGGTTCATTACTGACACGAACAAGTTCAATGGAAGGATTCTGGTCTTTGTTTTTATGTCCAGTTCTGAGCTGAAAAAATTTTGAGATCAAATGTCATTAAAAATTATTTTAAATTAAGAAACCAAAAATTTGACTGAATTCATTCCAATTAACTGATAAAAAGTTGTAAAAGCCTGCCCAATCAATTGATCACCCTCAATTTGATTATAAGCATAATTAAAACAAGAAATCCTCAGAGACCAATCAGCCGATGATGGAAAAAATTGAGAGGGGAGTAAAAATTCTTTCCAACGAGGATTCGCATTTTTATTACAAAATTCGCTTCTATAAAGTAAAATCTGAAGAGAAAATTGACAAAATTATTTTTGAAAAATTTAAAAAAATTTACAGGTAATGGAGAGGATTCTTCAACATTATTGGTGGGAACAAGTTCAAGTAAAAAATAAGGCGAAGGAATGAGGCCAGAATTGTCCATATTATGCCCAATAAATTGAAAAACTTGAAGAACATTTTAATTTAATTTTTGAATTTCTAAAGAAACCTGTTCCAGAATTAACCCCGCAATTTCCAGGCTGTGAAACCGCACATTGAATAAATGAAGGCTGGGAAGATTTTATTTCTTGGTCCAAAATAAGTGGGATTTGAAGAGATTCAGAGACTCCATGGAGAATTGAAAACAAATTGAAATTAGACTGGCCTATTTTCCTTTGAATTACTTCGGTTTTGTGATCTACAGAATATCTGGAAAAATTTTGGTAAGTAAAAATATTTTTAAAAAATAAGAAAAAAAATTTTTGCAAAAATTTCTAAATTATTTTTTTGGTTTAATTTTTTTATTTCCACGTCTTGAAAAATATTTTCAACCAAAAATAAAATGGTTGACCAACGAAAGGACTCGAACCTTGACATAGTAAAAGTCAAAACCGAGACCTTTCCAACAAAACCAAAATTTACTTTTACGAATAAACTTTTAACATCATAAATAGTTAAATAAATTTGATTTAGACAACTTACACTATCAAACAAATTTGTTGTTCAAGATCCAAACGAAATACAAACACAACATTCCGTTCAAATTTAGGATTTAAACTTGAAATTGTTTCGGTCTGTCCAATCTTTAATTAAAATTATATTTTTAGATTTTCCCCAAAATTAAAATAAACCTCAACATAATTTTCAGAATTTTCATTTCTAGCAGTAATAGCCAATCTACATCCATTTAAACAATCAATGGGGAAATTCCTTAAAATAATTAAATTAAAAATTAATTTAATTTTAAAGCTTACACTCCAGCAAAGGTTAATACAAGTGTTGCTTCATGTGTCATTTAATTAATTTATTTTCTAGTATTAAAATTATCTAAAAATTAAACAGAAAATTTAAAGCAAATTCTATAAAAAAATAAAAAAAGAGATGACTCATTTTTAAAAATAAATTTAGAAATCTCCTAGAAGATAAAAACAATAATTCTATTACTTTTACAATTCTCTTACTCTAACTTCTTCAGTAATTTAACTACTGATTAATTTACAAAATAAATAGACGTTTTGTTGCGAAAGTTTCATCGCGAAAAAGGGGTATTCGTTACTGTAACTCATTTACATTTATAAATGTTTGCTACTTGCTTACCTTTTACTTAGAATTTAATATTAAAAATTCTTTTATTTCTTACAATTTTTTATAAATTTTTAAAGTGCAAATAAACAATAATTTTAACTTTAAAAAATTAAAATTTGTTGACTACAAAATTAAAAAAATTTATTTTCTGGGCAGAGACACGATACGATAAACCTTCATTAATAAACATAATTGAAACTTTTTTTTGTTTAAACATTTTTAAAGTTTACACGAATATTTAAAATAAGGACACGCAACCTTTTAACACATTTTTCTAGAATTTTGTAGCGAGAAAAGGTTGGCACGTTCATGAAATAATACGAAAAGTTGGGGCAACATAATATGCATGAAACTTTTAAAATATTTTTACAAGCTTTATTTCATTCTATTAAATTAAAAAGAAAACCAAATTTTTAGAGACGAAGGATCCTGCCGTCCCGATTCACGTTTACATAACTTTTATTTTTTAAGCTCGGCAAAACCCCTGATAGACTAATATTTAATAACATTAAAAATTTGTTTTTTATAATAACAATTCAAACATATGTCCCTTCTTATCTCATTTACTTCTAGACTTTAAAAAAATCGTCTTCCATATCATCGTTGTCCTCTTCCATTACCACGGCATAACTTGAAGTCGATGGTTCTTCGTTATTCTTTATTTAAATTTTTTAAGAGATTACGGAAAAGATCTATAAACGAAGCTTGATACAAGGGAATGGGAAACTTGTCCTACTCCAAGCTGAGAATATCCAAATACTCTTATCCACAGTTAAGTATCCATTCCTTGCTTTATTCAAGAATAAAAACCTTTTTGGCAACATGCACCCAATCCTCCTCGTTTTTCTTCTCCTTCGTTTCTGCTTCCGATTTTTCAATATTTTCGAATTCCTCGTCTCCATCAAAATTACTATCTGCAGTATAATAGTCTAAAGAGTCATCAGAAGATGTTTGCTTAGGGGAGGATTTTTTAATAATTTTCACGTCCGGATTAGCCTGATTTCTTTTAACAGAAACATAATCAGAGTTCATATTTGCAATTGCTTTTGTAAAAGGAATGGGCTCTGGAGCTTTATTTTTTTCCACAATTTTGTCTTTTTTAGGAGATTGAGAGGAAGTTCCTGCTTCATGTTGTGAAAATTTATTAGCATTTTCTTAAGTTTTTATTAAAAAAAGAATTTTTAAATAAAATAAACTTGGAGTATTTTCATTAAGAACACTTGGAATCCCTTTATATTCGCGATAAACAAAGCTTGGATTCTCTTTTGGCTGTGGCGCTTTAAATTTTGGCTGCACAGACTCAATGGCTTTGCCAATTGTACGATCCTTTCCTCCTCCTAGAATTGTACGATCATTTCCTCCTAGAATAATTTAGGGGTATTATGCAAGAAAAATAAGGTACAAAAGACTTTCATAAAAGGCTTTCCCTTATAGAGTTCGTTTTCGGTCAAGAAAGCTGCTAGAGATAGTATGTACACTCAAGCACAATCTCTAGTCCTACAAAAGTATGGTGTTAGAGACTTCTTCACATAAGAGACTTGCTTATATGAGACTTCCAAATATAAGAGGCTTTTTTCTATTTATTCCTCATGTCTCCTCATAATCGTTAGTTGAAGCTAGTTTACCTAAAATTAACTTCTTATGATTCTGATTATCATTAAGATTTATTTTTGGTTTGGTTTTGTGTTGAACAGCTACGTTAATTTTCGATTTTTCCTTTTCTTTGAGTATTCTAGTTTGTTCAGTAGCAATCATTTTGGCAATATTTAAATATTTATCATTATCAAACATTAAATTATGAACTTCTTCAGAAGTAATTCCAACGAGCCTGTTATTAATATCGGCAGCTATCACTTCTAAATTAGTTAAAATTTATTGGTGTATGCGTGGAAAGATTATCATCTAAACTGAGCTAATGTGAACGGAAATCCTTTGATAAGCTCAGTAGTGATTCAGGACATATACTAATTTATGTTAGTTCGCCTATTCCAAATGCATTAAATTACCTGAGAGTTCAGTAACAGTCCGCAAAAACAAACTATCAAATGCTTCATCCTTCTCATCAACTCCCAAACCTAATTCAATGTCCAATTTTTTAGAGATTCCAATTCCACGCTCAATTGCAAATTGTGGATTTTTTTCAATATTTTTCATAATTTGTTCAACCAAGCATTTTTTAAAAATTAATATACATTTCTCATGGTAATTGCTTTTCAAATAATTTAAAATTTTGCCTCTCGAAGAGGTGATAGTTTGGATATTTTGATCAATTTTTCCTAAGATAACTATCATTTAAATATAATTAAGGGTATTAAATCACCAGCAAGGTAGTTCTGAAAATTCCCAATGCCATTCAAATGCATTGTATCTTCTTTATCTGATCCACAATCATCAAATTTATTTAATGCCTCTCCAATTTTATTGTAAAGAACTGCCCCACTTTTAATAGAATTTTTATATCCTCCTTCAACTTAAATTTTTTTAGGTATTTAATGATTAAAAGGGGAGTCTTGTTAATTTTAGGTGAGGATGGACTGGGATGTTTTGGCTCTTTAGGATAGAAGGGAGGACATGGAAGGAGAATATGTACCCTTATTTTGGTGGTGTAGTCTAGAAGGTTGGGAGGTTCCCCAGACTAAATGGGGAATCCTATCCAGAGAGCCCAAGCTTTATAACCTCAAATAACATATGTCTACTAATTTTACCTAAAACGCAGGAGCAAATGAATGCCAAATAAATTTTGATTAAAACAATGAAATTAAAAGTCATTGGTTAAGCTAATTTAATTAAATATTTAATTTTAAATTAATTAAAATTATCAGGTAAATTCTGCCTTTTTAAATTATTTACAAGGGCGGAATTATTAAAAGGGATTTAATAAATCCCTTGATTATTTCCCAATTAAATTTTCAAAATATTTTACGAAAGATACGATTTCCTACGAGGGCAACATCCTTTAAAGATTTACTCGAGCCCAATTTTTTGCCAATTAAAAGTGCATAAATGTGTAGTCAGGCTTATGAAATTAAAGGGATTTATTTAAAAAATAAAGGGAGTTCACGTGAGTTCCGAATTTATTTCTTAATTAATAAAGTGCAAAATAACTTATGTAATGTAGACATGGTTGTTTGCTTCCGTTTTTAAAGAGAAAAAGGGCAGGGAATTAATTTAAATAAATTTTTGTATGAATTTAAAGCAGACTCGGAAAAATCAGACAAAAATAAAAAAGACTTGATTTCAAGATTTGGGTTGGAAATCAGGTACCTAGGTTGAGATAGCTTGGAGGGGTTAATTGAACCTTTCACAGTCGTTGTAGAAAATTTTTTTCTGTGTTCCTATGCATGTAGAGTTGCTGGGGAAAGTTGGGTTCTGTCGGGGGTCTTCTATGTAAAATTCAGGAGATGGTTTCGAAAAATTATAAAAAATTATAAAAATTTTCTAAGAAAATAAGAATAACATACACAATTTCATTAAAACTCCTGCAAATACTCTAATATTTTCTAATAAAAAACTATTTTTAAATTAACATTTAAATTCCAAATAAAATTTTATTATTTATTTAATACCTACTTAAATTTATTTTCTCAGAATTACTTGAAAAGGAACGAGAACCTTTTTTATTTTAATAATTTATTTAAATTAGCATGTGCCAAGTGCCCTTTATTTTTTTTAAAATTAAATAATAATAAATAATAATTAAATTATTTTCATAAAATATAATAAAATTATTCTCTGAACGTTAAAATGGACGCGATTCTTAAAATAAAAATTTATTTAATAATTAGGTAATTTTGTAAAAAATTAATTCAATGCCTTAAATTACTGAGAATATTTTCAAATAATTTTTTAAAATAATTTCATAACTTATAATTTGCCTTAAATTGACATTAAATTCATTTTTCTAAATATTAAAAAGCCCCAATAAATTTCTAAAAATATTTTTAAGTTTTCCAAAAGTTATTGGTTCATAAAAAAATTTTCTAATCACATATTAAATTTAAAAATTCATCTAGAATGGATATATTTTTATTCAAACGATCTGAATATGAACGTCGATACACTTGCGAGAATGTTACTGTTGGGCAAGTACCTCTAAAACAACGTCAAAGTCTGATCCTTGGGAGTATAACGATGATTATGTTTATATTCTACCATGTAAAGTTATTAAAAGATTAACTAAAACAAAAGTATAGTCAATTAGCTCAAGAAAACATTGAGGCTAAGGTTCAGGGACCTGTCATGGAACCTTTCCCCTGAAGCGGAAAAGCACTTCTTATAATTCAGATTTTTTGAATGACTACGCATACGGATTTTTGTTTGGTTGGGTTTACCAACTCCATAGGTCTAAGAAAATCCCCAAAATTTAATCGTTTGCCTCTAACTTAAAATCCATTTTCTATCCAGATTCTCTACATTCCGTGTATCCTGTCTTTATCTAAAAATCTAAAATCTCCTTGCTACAAGCTTTTATTCTATATCGGAATCGTTGACATAATCGGTCTTTGGATTACTGGATTTGAGACGGCCCTTTTCGGACTGCTTGGTTTTGTTTATTGTTCATCTCCTGTTTTAATGTATATTAGTGGATGTTTTGCATGTGGTAATTTATCAAAAAATTCTAAAATAAATTTTAAAAATTAAAAAGCTGTTTGGGGAGCGGAAACAACGGCAGAGGCAGTTTTAGCATTTAATCGTTGTTTGGATATGTTACTTCCTCGTATAGCTAAATTGCTTTTTGAAGGTATCTTGGGGAGTTGAGGGATCATTCTAAGACGATTTTTAAAGGAAGACGAACTCTCCTTTGGCTGTTAGCCATTACCCTATATGGCTTCAGTTGGCTTTTTTACGCCACCCCAGCATTGTTTACTGGAATCCATTTTTCTTGGTTTTTCAACCCCTATGTTGGTGGGTACAAAAATACCACAGAAAATGTAAAATTAAATTATCAGAAAAAATCAGAATTTAAAATTAAGTATGTCTGTGTTTTCGATGCTTTTCACAATATTACAATGGCCATCTTCCTCCCCGTGGTATACGGCGGATTTTTGATTGCGCATTTTGCTTATAAGCGTACACGTTTTTCTAATACTACAATTTCTAAGACTGATATAGAGGTCAAAAAAATTTTTTTTTAATTTCAAAAATTTTTCCAGATAATCATTCAAGTATTTATCATCAGTCTTTTAAATTTCGGAGCTGCTACACTTTTTATTTTAATGAATCACGTCCAAATAACTGAACCCTATATTATAGTAACTCAATTCTTTTGGTTCCACGTTCATGGTTTTTTCAGAAAAAAATTTAAAAAATTTTCTTTTTAAAGGTTTCCCTCCTATAATCTACATAATATTAAATAAAACTATCAGAAATGACTGCAAAAAATTCTTTTTACCAAAAAGAGTAAGCAACTATATTAATAGCCAAGGACAAATTACAACTGAATTTGATACGAAAGGATTGGGATTAGATTTGGCTTTGGGTGGAGAAAGTGTCAAACTACCTCCGATACATAGCAGAGTTGCTCCTGTTAATTTTTGAAAAGGAATATGAAGGAAATTGTGATTTTAAATTTTTTTATTTTAATGTATGATCTTGTAAGAATACTAAAAAAAATTTTTTTGAACATGAAATTCTTATTTTTTTAATTTTGTAACCGACACTATAAAAATTTTATTAATTTTTTTTCTTCAATAAATTAACCATATTTATCTAAATTAAGTATTTCCTTTAACGTATAGAAAGTAAAAAACAAAAAAATAAAAAGTAAAGGATTAAATAGTGCCAGCCTTCATTTGCTATTGCCAGTTGAGGCATTTTCGCGCGGCTAATATTTTTCTTCAGCTATTAAATGAAAATAAAATATATTTCTATTGATTCTCCACAAAACAGGCAATAATTTACTTAATAATTTTTAAAACTTTCCTCTTATTTCTCGAGAAAAAAATAAAGAACTCGTGGCTAATTTAATTTAATTAAAAAATTTTTTACCGTCCAAGATGGAAGCATTTTTAAATTATTTACTCATTTTATTTGCAATAACGTTTACACTCGCAAATAACCAGAATGTTGAAGAAACTGAAAGCACAACTGAGAATGTTTCAGTAGCTCCAGCCGGGGTGAAGACTAGAAAAATTTATAAATTGGGTCGTGATCCAAAAGAACTAAAGGCAGAAGTGGATCCTCTTTCTACTGTGAGTTTTTAAAAGATCTTTTTAAGTGCTTCCGGAAAATAAATAAATGTTTCCGGAAAAAGAATAAATAATTCCGGAGAATAAATAATCGTTTCCGGAATTTAAATAAATAGTTCCGGAAATTAAATAATCGCTACCGGAATTTTCCGGAAATTAAATGTCTTTCCGGAAAATAAATAATTGTTTCCGGAATTTAAATAAATAGTTCCGTAAAAAATAAATGCTTCCGGAAGTGTATAAAATTAAATAAAAATTTTCCCTTAATCTAAAGGAAGTTCCCTGGAAAAAAGTCAATCTCTCAGATGTCAGTAACGATACATTAAACACCGATGGATTTATAAATGTTGGTTGGTTCAGGAAAATATACATTCATTGTTTAAATAATTTATAAGCTTGTTATACTGAACTTAAAGCTGCGCCAGAAAAATTGTACAACAAAGCTTTTCGTTTTGATGTTCAAAAGATTTTTGAGAAAACTAATAAGCATTGTACGTTTGTTTATGTAAGACAGGCGCTGGTTTGCATGAAAAGTGTCGGATTTCAGAGATATAACCTGGAAACCATTATACTGGCATTCTTCAAGATGTCCGTATCGTGGTCATTAAAACCCCCGAATACCCCTTAAAAGTCCTCAAAATCCTAGCAACCTCTAGTAAAAAATCATTTATTTATTTGCAGGTATGCTCCGTTTTCCAGTAGGCATGTACCTTCAATATCGCTTCAAGTTTTCCGATCCAAACGTTTAAATTAACAAAAATAAACTTTATATTTTTTATATTTTAAAGACATATGCATTTTGGGCTCTAGGGAACTCTCCAAACTTTACAGTAGGAACTACCCGACTAATTTCAAGTACAGAAATGTATGACCATCCCTTTAATTGGTGGAAAGGCGAGTTTAAAAAATTAGAAAAATCAAAAAAATTAAAAATGTAGGTGTGATTCATGTACCATGCCGCTTCGCAACACTCGTATTTCGACCGTACGTAGCTGGGGAAATATTTGAATTCAAGTTTCTGCCTTTTCCTCCAAAAATCGTTGATAAATGTAGTAAATTGGAAGACAAATATTATCAGTCAATGAAACAATCATAAATTTTTATTTTTGTCATTTTATAGTTGTTTGTTTAAACATTTATTTTTAATTCTTTTATAAAATAAAAACTTTGGTTCTCAAAATTCCGTATTTGCGGTTAATTTCTGCGAGCATTTGACACAAAACTAATTGCCCAGCGAAAATTTAATTGTTCATAACTTTCTTCAGAATTATCAGATAAATCTGGCGTTGGTGTCATTCGTCTCACTCAGCTCGACGAGCCCCTTCGAATAAACTATCTTTTTAACCCCATTAAAGGTGCTTAGTCTCCCCTATAGTCTTTTGATTTTCGGAGACTTAACTCGGCCCATATATGTTACTGTAGGCTAAGTTTTCATCATTTAAAACATATTTCAACCGGATCGGTTTATGGGCCGTCAGCACAATTTTACCACGAGTTTTATACTTTTCATTCCTTTCTATAGTAAAGCCTAGGGACCAAAATTCAAAGTTTCAGCCTAATAGCCTAGATCAAACAAAAGCTTCCAAACAAATTAAATAATGTTTATTTTCCAAATTAAATTAAATCCAACAAAAAATAATAAAGCGAGCCAACAATAATAATAAAAGCCAAAGCAATAGGTGAGAGCCAACAGTGAGCCAAGGAATGGAACAGAACAGAGTAGAGCTTAACAGAAAGAAAATCAAGCTAAGCTAATGTGGGTTTTGTAAGGGAGATTATATAGGCCAGAAAATAGGCGGGTAGATAAAGTTAAAAATAAACACATTCCAAAAGTGGGCAAAAAAGTAGAAATTAGTGAATAGCGGCTGGTACAAAAAAATGAATTAGATAGATGCGCTTAAAGAAACAAAAGAAGGCTAATTAAAAAAAGTTAGAAATAGAACAAATTTCTTAAACAGAAAAGAATTTCCTAGACAGCAGGTGCGAGTTAAAAATTAAGATTCGAATTTTAAAGAAAAAATGAATTTAGAAAAATAAACTTAAAAAGATTAAATTCTAATTGTCGCCTTTCGCGACACTTTCTCTTACAGTTAAAAAACATTCATTCATTGACGGAAAGTTCAATGACGAAAAGTCCGTTGACGGAAAAGTCGTTGACGGAAGGTCTATTGACGAAAAGTCCTTTGACGAAAAGGTCATTGACGAAAATTAGTGACACCCTTTGCTTTGGCAAAATAGAGTCTAGTGAAGTTGTTTTAAGAGTAAATAGAGTATTTGTGAAAAAATGTTTTGACCATCCGTTTTAGAAAAAATTTATTTTAATGAGACAAATAATTGTAATTATCCTAAGACGGTTAATAATTGCCTTATTTGCCCTTTGTGGAATAATCCGACGTATATTCACTTGTCAATGGATCAGACGTAATCAACAAAGGATTGGAGAACTTCCAACATTTATTACAAATAAAAAAGAAAATTTAGACGAATTTTCGGGTTTTTAAAACATATTTTTTTTAAATATTTTATTAAAGAAAAAGGAGGTTGGTCAAGTTGGAATGAAAATCCTTCTGCTGTTCTAACAACAGATACATCCTCCCAAATTGAAGAATATAGAAAACAGATGCAGGCGAACCTTTTAGCTGCTAGATCTGCCAAAAAGAAATTTAATCCTTCACAAAATAGTGGAAATAATGGAAATAATTTACAAAAAGTACCTATTTTATTAAGAATAATTTTCTAAAAATTATTAATTTTTAAAAAAGGTTGTGATAGAACCTGATTTATTTGATGAAATTCAACCTCAAGTTAAGGCTCCTAAAAGAGTTGGTAGAATAATTAATTAATTTAAAATTTAAAAATTATTTAAATTTTTAAAAATTATTTAAAGTTGTTGATCAGACAGTCACAAAATGAACAACAAAGAAATTTGTTTGAAATGAGAGATTGTGATACTCCAATAGAGGAGATGTTGAACGAGGTTTCGAAAATTTAATTTTGGGATTTTGATAAAAAATTTTCTAACTTAACTGATTTTCTGATATGTAGCTTCCACAAGAGCTGTACGCAATCGAAAAATATTTTTTGCGGATTATCCGCAAATCTTTTGCGGATTGACCGCAAATATTGATCCTTTAATATCGCTCCTTCTTTACATTCATATTTTAATTAGCAGAGGCCTGGAGAACTTGGCCAACTAGTCGAAAGCCACATAGACAATGAGGACGTGTCTAATTGGTTATCTGATGAGGACAATGTATTTAACTAGTTGTTAATAAGATTTAGTATTAAAATAATTTTAAAGATAAATTTTGAACAATTAAATTCTGTTGAACAAGAACAAAAAAGAAGAGAGCGGGAAATGAGGAAACAACAACGGCAAACAGAACATTCAAAACAGTTGGAAAACAAAAGACGTTTACTGGAACAAAAACAAATGGGAAGTTCGAAAGCTTTATAAAAACGGGCATAATTATGTATTTACTAAGTGTTAGAGAAGTCCAAGTCTCTTAGATTGAGACCAAGACTTATTGGAGCTTATTGAAATTAAGTTCTTAATAGGAGATTATTTTGCTTAAGTCCTGGAAAAATCTTTGGTCTTGGACATATCTATTGTATAATTTATCCAACTGATTAAACTAATGTGAATTTTAGGGACTTGATTAAACTACGATATATCCAGTTTTTCAACGGTGTCCTTAAATTTTTGGGGGTACTCCTAAAATTGACCCGAAGCTTCCCTGAAACCTTAGAGATCACGAAAATAGAGCTAGGCCTCGATCGGAATCTCGCCAGTTATTTCTTGGAGCTAGGTTTAAAGAGCTAGATTTAATCCTAGAAGTCAGCTCCTTAGTTGGATATTAAAAATTTCTTTCATAGAGGGTTGTGTTTTTTGTAAATATGTATAAATCTTTACAAATAAAATTTTTTAAAACAAATAACAAAATTAAAATTATCAAAAATATTATGATTCATTTCCTCCTCCTACTTTCCGCCCTTTTTTCATACTCATGGATAGCTCTAGCACATTGAATAACACAAACGGTGTCCTTAAATTTTTAGGGATTTTTTTAAGAAGAATTTCCCCCCTTCCCCACCTTTTTTATTTCATTAAGTAGATAATCTTCAAATAATTCTTCACACCTTTCTATTGTTATTGAATGACATTCTGGCTGGAAAATTGGAAAAATTTTAGGAAAATAATAGAAAAGACTCAACCCCTTCAGCCGTGCATGTACAAGTAACACAGGGGGTGATACGTCGATTTTTCCCCATATTGATCACTCGCTGATCGACAACACAAAAATCTGATTTTTTAAAGTTTAGGGGGTTTAAGCTTTTAAATTTTACTTCTGTCTAGCCATTCATAAAGATTTGTGGCTGGCAATTCGGAACATTTGATTGGGGCATTTCTTTAATTGTTAAAAGAATTTATTTAAGCCTCTCTGAAAGTTAAAAAAAATTAATTTTTACACTAATTCATCAGGCAAAAGAAAAGCATTGGGTTGTATTCTATGTGCATATTCACTAGATTCACAAATCATTCGACTTAAGGTGGTTGTTCGAATTTCTGCTAGTTGCCCTTTAGTTTTAGGAGTTTAAAGAATATTTAGAGGATCATGCCTGGTGTGAATCTATTAATAGGATCAGAATTTTCATAGAAAAATCTGTCGCATCGCTTCAATCGTTGAAATTGTTCAGCCAAAATACACGCTAACATCGGGCCTACTAATGCCCCTTTCAACGGCTTCTCCGACATAATCCCTGGGAACAAGTCAACATCATCTACGTTAGCATAAGCTGCTTTGAGTGCATTGACAGCAGCCTCATCCATAGTATCCAACAAATCCTCAAAGTTTGAAGCCCTCTCGAATCCACATATTTGGCGATAGGAATTGTAGGGAGGAATGCCATGATCTCTTTTAAGAAAAAATTAATCCTAGCCAGAAAATTAGAAAGGACCTTCCTCTCTGAATATTAACTGCTGGTAGATCAAGTCCCGTTAAAGGACCACCAGGCCTTTGAAAAAGGTGGTTACGTACTGCATCAACTATGAAACGGTCATAGTCCATTCTGAAGGACAATTGTTGGATTTATTATTTTTTATTTTAAAAACCCAGCCGATCCAAGCAGTCCCATTAATATAGACTCCATATGGCCATTATTTTCGTCATATCTTTTTTCAGAAAATTTAATTTGGAATCAAAATAAGTTTACATTGGAGAGGCATTGTTGAAGGTCGTCTCGAGTTTAACTCCTTCCCAGCCGTGGTTATATGAAGAGTTCATCCGAGGGAATACATTTCTGAGGATATTATTTACTCTTAATATTTATCTTAGTCCTTTAAATCACCTTATAAGGGTATGTCCAAAGCGCATAGCTGCGGTGGCTATAAAAATTTAAATTAAGGTAGAAAGGTGGAACATAGGAGCAGGTCTTGTAGCAAGTATATGCAGTCCTGTAACAAGCTTTCGCTTATAAGTCTTCCCTAAGAATCCCTCTCGCTTCGAAGTACTTAAAGTTACAGTCGATTTAGTAATGTAGGGGGTTCAAAAGTTAGTTGATTCTAAGAGTTACCAAATTCTTGTGAAATTGAAGCATCACAATTTGGATCATATCCCTCATAATAACCACTTTTCCGTGGCATAAGATCATAACTAAATAATCATTATTTTCCAAAGTATTCTCAACTACCGAGCCATTAATTCGCATCCTAAAACAACGGGTAACCATTCATTATAAACAACATGTTGAAGTTTGGCAATTAAAATCCTTCGAGTTTCCTAAAAATTCCCTCAACAAGGTGCTTAAACTTAGGTTCAAGTCACCTGAAATATTTGTTCATCAGACCAAAAATTATTAATTTTGTTAAGCGCCAAAGCTATTTGATTGTGTTGGCGTAGAAATATTGTGTGTAGAACGGTTAGACCAGGTTGCTCGTTACTTCGCTCATCACCAGCATTAAAACAAGAAAACTGGGGTCGGGAACTTTAAAATCAAAAAAAAAGTTCAAGAATGGTTTTAAAGATTTAAAGACGCACAGACAGTCTCTCTCTTGAAGGCCTTGTGGAAGTGCCTGAGATAAATTACTTTTTAGTTCTTACTGGTATAAGGTCTATCCACCTGTTTATTATAACCCAAATTTGTAAAATTCATTCTGCCCCTATTAAATAGCCTGAGGGCATTGGCTTCACATTCTGTGGATCCATAAATGTAGGAAGCATCAAGAAACGATGTCAGCTGGTTAAGTTGATTTCGATAACTAGAAATATCTTCTAACTAAAATTTAAATTGTTAAAGACCCGAGAGTAAGCTGTCCAAGCAATGAACGTGTAAATGGCATGCAGCGAGGTGATCCATCCGAATGACGTCCAGGAAAATGAGGGTCGCTAGGATCAATTTGAATAGGAAAGCAGTGAACTGAGAGCGTGTCAAAAGAATCACAACGGCTGCAATTAAGTATTGCGTTGTTTGGACCTGAATTTTTTGAGTTTTCACGTCTTTAAACACCCATAAATCAGTCATAATAAACATAAAATCACTCCATATTATACCTCTAGCTACAGGAGAATGTGTCATGTCGTGATCCAAAATCTGCCCAAATTGCATAACCATGTGAGAGAATTTGACATGAAAACGAGATTCAGATTCGTTTTCAGGTAATGCCTCCAAATGAACCAGATTGGAAACATGCCGTGCTGAAGGCAAAGGCTTTCCATTTCTCCCTTTGGTTCGAGGTAAATCGAAGCCTAAAGCAACGAATATAAGTTATTGAAAGTAAAAGATTTGTAGAGAATAATCTCTTCAAACACTAACCATCATCATAAACTGGATCTAAAATCCGTCTTAAGGGTTCAAAAGCATTCCCAAAATGAGGAAATTGGAGGTTATTGCACCATCCAGAGAATGTCCCTGTTAAACATTAATGAGAGATTTTCAAATTCAATTTACGGTATATTGCTGTATGGTCACAAGGCAGAGGTTTGGGCAAGCATTCTTTACGATTTTGAGTATGCCCTCCAACAAGAGCAGTAAAGTTTCCAACTACTCGGGAAACATCCACCTCAGGCAGTAATCTCTGCAGCGTTTCCACGCTTAATTCTGAAGGAAGTCTTTCGCTGACGTTCAGGGCAACACTTAAAAAGAAGGCTGTTTAGAAGGTTCTAGAGAACATCCTTCACCTACCCTCTAATCAAAATTTTTGTAGTCTCGCTTAGAATACCAGCAGTAAGAGCAATATCTAGCGACTCCCTTTTTGGAGCCATTAAAGAAGCATGAGTGAATAGGGCACTTGGAATTTGATGTAAATCACCAGTTGCTGGTCTAGGTTGTCTATTAAGTCGTCCATTCTCCGCCTCTTGTAATCTTCTGAATTGTTCAGCCCCTAGACGAACAGCTTTTTCTAGCGTTTCTTTAGTTATGGGTAATTGACTGCGGTGTTCTTCATCTCTCCAATGGTTCAAATTTAAGCGAGGAATGATTGAGGTTGTGTTGCAGTCTATTGGGCAATTTCTGTAAAAATAGTGTTAATCCTCTTAATTCTTAATTATGGGTATTGGGTTAGGTTAAAACAGCCCAAAACAAGGTTCAATACCAAGGTCCACTTAGTAGGAGGTTACTGTATTCTGAAAGAAAAATTATCTCACAAGTAATTATCAGCCTGTTGAAATACGTTAGGTTGAATCATTCCAATATCATCAGTATTATCACAAATAACACCAGCCATTGTACTTTCCCTAATTGTTGATAGCTGTTTAAGTGTAAAAGCTGACGGTTCAAAAAAGTTTTCGTACCAAAAACGATCTCCATGTCGAAGCTTTTTTGGGGAATTTTATTAAATTATAAGACTAAAATAATTACCCTTTCAAATTGTCTTTCAATTATACAACTAAACGTAGGACCCAAAAAAGCTCCAGGTAGAGGGCGTTCTGCTAGTCCACCAACAAACAACTCAATGTCATCTACATGTGGATATATTGACTTAAACTCCTCCAAAGGTGATTCCGGAAGGAAAATGTCGGGTAATTCTGTGAAGGATGTTGGACGACTTAATCCACACAATTTTCTCCAGGAAGTGAAGCTGGAAGATTAAAAATATCTTCATTTTAATCACCAAAATATTAACAAATCCACCTATCCAACCCATGATCTCTCCCCATTTGTATAATCATTGCAGCCAAATCGACCCCATATTTATCTGGTCCACGCATAAATTTGTCACGAAATTCAACATCAATATGTGGAGTATTTAATCGAGTTATTGGTTCGTGTAGTAATGTTCTAATAATCCCTTCTAGACGGCCTTTTTGATAAATTGAGGAAGGATCGTTAAATAAATTTCCAATTGCTCGTTGTTGTGATATCTCTCCCTTAGAATCCGTGAAGCCCAAAGTTCCGGGAAATAGTGAAAAGAAGAAAAGACCGGCAGAAGAGGCATATTCATTTAAAGTTCCAGGGTTTGTCTTCTGCCAAAAATTGAAGAACAAAATTATTTTTGTTATAAAGTGGATAAGAAGGGGATTTCTAAAGAAGTTAGCGAGACCCTCAGGCCTATGGACACCCTCATCTTCGCCTTACGACGTCTGAGGGGTCAGAGAGGCACTCTATTCTAGCTCAAGAAAAATCAAAATCAAACAATATTGTAATCGCTGTCAAATGTGTTCCTGCGAAGTTGTAGACCGCTTTCTCGTAGTCTGTCCTTCCCCAGCAAGATAGGCAAAAACTCGTTGAATGTAATGTGTTGAAGCTAGGATTTATTTTAAAAATAAATTAAAATATTAGCCCACTTGTGCAATAACTATTCTACGTGCTTCTTGAAAAAGGCGTTCGTCTTCCCATATTGGGTTTACTATCTGTTGAAGGATTTAAAAAATATAAGGGGATAGATGTTGGGGCAGGTTCGCCTTCTGGGCCCAGCTGACAAACATCAGTGAGAACATATCAACCTTCTGGGTCAGGGGGGAGAGGGCATACTTCCCCAATACGATGGGAGGAAGGTTGCTGGACCAGAAACGAACTCATATTGTTTTATTCACCTTAAGATTCCTAGCCAGCCGATTGTGTTGTCTGACCCAAATAGTATGTAAAGCTGCCGCTGTTGGCAAAAGATTGGTCATTCTAGAAGCGGAAAAAAAACAAGGTCTAAAACTTGAAGTTGACTGGCACACAATGTTGTCCAAATCTGGAGGAAGTAAATCTTGTCTAGAAGGTTGTGGGTTTGTTTTCATTAGACCTGTTCTCAAAAATAAACTCGAAAATTTTCGGGTATTTTTTAATTTTTTATACCGTTCGAAAACGTTCTCAAAGTTGATATTTCGTCTTCATTACTGCCGTATATGTGGCTACCATCGATAAATGAAGAAACTAAATTGGCCTGTTCTCTGGGTCCGAGTGAACAGTTTAAACGTGGAGCTGCCATTGAACGTGCATAAGGGAGGCATTGGCCTCGAGCTAAAAATTTTGTTTTAGGAATTTATATTTGAAAGAAATTGAAGGGGGTCAAGGGCCTTGAAGGTGGTTAAGGCCTAGACTGTCAAATAATCAACAAAGAATTCCTTCACCTCTATAAGGCAAATCATCAGTATCCGTTATAATAGGCAGACATTCAGGATGTTGCTCAGCACAACAAGGCATTGGAATAGAAGCAGAATTTCGAGAGGATTCTTGAATTAAATGAGAGAAACTTTCATTAATTTATTAAATTACCACTAGAAAATATTCTATTCGTTCCAATCCTAGCAATATCTTCATAAATAAATTGAGCCCATTGGGCTAAAAGTAAAGAACACGAATGTTTTTGATTTTTAGTTGAAGCTGTTGATCCATTCAATAATTTATTTGATATTAATCTTGGACTAGGCAATGGAGGATTTCCTTGGGAATTACTTAATTGTCGAGGCTTTTCAATACCTGAATTCTTTAAATTTATTTTAGTTAAGACAATTCACCGTCAGAATAAACAGCAGGCTTCAACCTTCTTAAGGGCTCGTAAGCAGCACCCCAAAGAGGTTCGCGAACGTTGTTGCAGTGGCCGGAATATGAACGGTACTGTAAAGGAATGGGAGGATTAAAAAACCTCTTTCTTATGTACTTCGATATAGGAGACCAGTAAGTTATATAGAGGGTTCATCCCGATATAGTGGACTTTATTCCGAAATATAGAAAGTTTCTTATGAGAGCTATTCCCCCCCCCCCCATTTTACCTTCCCAGGAACACATTCGGAAATCCCATTAGTAGGACAGTGTTGTTCCAAAACAGTTTTGTGTAAAGACATATCAGCAAGTCCAACTCGAACTTGATCCACATTAATCAATGAATTGTTGCTTAAAAAGTGTGTTGCAGCTGTTGAGGCTAATGCAGAATAGCTGAGTGTTTTAATATGCCGATCAGATCGCCAAAGCTCGTTCCAAGCCATCGTGGAGAAAAGAAAATTGGTTGCTAGAAAATTAAGTAGAGAGTGATCTAGGCTTAATCCTCACCCTTAAAGTCCCTAAAAAGCCGATTTTCTGTTGTATTAAAAAGTTGATCAATTTCCGTTTTTGCTGTTATTGCAGCATTTTGTAATCCTTTATCACCCAAAAGCTTTGAGATTTCACGGATCATTTGGGCTTTTTTTGAATTTGAAAAGGATTCGAGTTCATCGGTTTGCGGCAGTTCACTTGCCTTTAGATTTTGACCTTTTAATGGAATACAAAAATTTATTTTTAATTTTTGGAAGGTACTTGAACTTGTTTTAACACCAAATGATACTGCCGATTTTTTGATTTCTAGAGTGCTTGCATCAAAAAATAATTCATCGTCCTCGCAAGGAATAAAACTATTGCCACAAGGGATGTTTGACCTTATTAAGTAGGGTAACGTTTAAAATTTAACGAGTAAAGTAAATTAAGACTTACACTTTAAGCCCAGCAAAAGGGTCCAGATTCTCATTTCTAGCTGTTTTGGTGGTTAGAATTAAACAAAAAATTATTAAGGGAAGGAATATATGAAATTTTAGGCAATATGCCCGAAGGGAATATCTCTTATGATTCATTATTTATTAGCTGCTTAAATTTGATAATTAGATATTTGATAAAATATTAAAATTAGAGATTGGACGGAAATGAGATCTTGACAGAGTTTTCCCTATATGTAGAAAATAGGACGATTCAAGAATGGTCGTAGGTCCTAAAATATGTCACCATCACCTCTTTATAATTCCATAGATCGCAAACGAAATCTCGGTTATCAAGTCAGAGATATCAATCTCAATTCTCGAACGAAATTATGATATAATGAAAAATCAAGCCTAACAAAAATCAAGGAAGTTAACAATTTATGGGCATAACCCAGGCATCAGAATGGATATCTTTTATCTCTTCTAAATTCTGTAGATATCTAAGCAATCGAAAAATGTTCTCTAAGGATTCCAAATTAAAAATTTAAAATAATTCTTTAAATTTATGGGGCTGAACGACTTTTTAATAGAATTTAAAAAATATCTCTCTCGAAAATCAAAATATTCATAACAAATTGTATATTTTATTCAACGGGATTATTATATAACAGGAAGAAAAATCTCTCTTCTTTTTGCATATTTAATTTTTTTCTGTTCACATCCTAGGAACGTGCCCGCTCAAAACATCAAACACTTAAAATATCTAGACGGGTAAAAACGCTCAAAACATCTAGACGGGTATAAACGCTCAAAACATCTAGACGGGTAAAAATGCTCATAATATATTCGCTCAAAACATCAAACGCTCAAAATATCTAGACACTAAAAAGGCTCAAAATATCAAAATATATTTTTTTAATTAAAAGGGACAGTTGAGTCCGCGGAAAAAAGTTTTTGCCGCTGCGGAGGAAGCCGGGCATGTCGAGCGGAACGACGGCCGCCGCTTCGCTACGGTCGCCGCGAGCGAAGCGAGCACGACCGCAGCGAAGCACGGCCATCGTGTAGCGAAGACCATGCCCGGCCTACCCTCCGTAGCAGCACAAAAACAGTTTTTCCAGCGAAGATTCTGCTGGTCATAACTTTGTCAAAAATCATCCATTCGAGCTGATTTTGGTGTCAGTCGACTCAGCACGTCGAACTCATGAAAAATTGGTCCTGAAGTACTACATTATTCACCCCTGATAAAAGGAGGAAATAGGGCACTCAACTGTCCCTTTTAATTAAAAAAATATTTTTTGATATTTTGAGCGTTTTTAACCGTAAATATATTTTAAGTGTTTGATGTTTTGAGCGAATATATTTTGAGCCTCTTTAGCCGTCTAGATGTTTTGAGCGTTTGATGTTTTAAAAAAATATGTTTTGTAGGGTAGCCCCTAGGAACAGGAAAATTATTTGTGTGTGTTTTATGCGTAATATTCTCATCACGCGCAATAAATTAAAATAATTGAATATAAGCGATTGAGGGATGGACTGTAAAGGATATTAAAAATAAAGAAAGATTAGCTAGTTATAGGTATAAAAAATGATTGAGGACATGGGTTTATCGGGAAAAAGAGGAGTTTTTTTTAATTATTAATTAGTTTTATTTTACTGGTGCTTTACTAAAGTCCTAAAAAATTTTCTTATTTACAAATAAATGTGTGGGGTAATTTTGGTTTGCAACAGATTATACGTGGTGATTTTTAAATTAAAGTTACGGATTTTTAAAACTATTTTTTCAATAGTGGAGACCTCAATTAATTTAAAAATTTTAATCATTCAAAATAGGGAAAGGTGTTGATAAACGATAGAGTGTGAAGGAGGAACAGAAGGCGAGACTGCCAATTGTTCGATGAATCAGTTTAGCTCATTAAACCAACTTTCTTATTGTATTTAAAAAATATATCAAATAATTAATGTTGGTACTTTTCCGTTAGGTACTTTTTTCGGATCTCTATTTTTTAAACTGAAGGTGTATTTAAAATGAAATATTCCTAAAAGAATTTCCTAGTGTAATTTTTGTTTGTATTAAACTAATAAATATTGTTGAAAAAATAGCGGTCAAGTTTATTTTTTTGCACTTAATTCGCTTGCAAACATACAATATAAACCTGTCTGAACCTCAAATTTAATTGGGGAAAAAAGACAAAAAGCAATTTTTGACCGATCCTGTGAATGAAACAATAAAAAAATTTTTTCAATAGAAAAATTAAATTTGTTTCTGTTCTACGTAAAAATTATTAATACAAATTATTCGGAAAGAAATTTGTTGCGAAGAAAGACAATGAGAAGCATTGTTAGACTAGGTTTAACAAGAAGAAAGTACTCCGAATCAAAACTCTCTTTTGCCTTGTATGAAGTTGTATAAGGGGATTTCCGTTTTAAGTTCCTTAATCCGCCTTAATCCCAAATGGGAATGGCTAAAAACTAAAAAATTAATTTTTTCTCATTCTTTTTTTCGTATTGTCTCAGAAATTCGTATTGTCTCACCGAGATCAATCCTGAAGGTCAACTCCAACACCACCCTAGTGGTCAAATAACCCAGGAAGTCAACTCCATATATTTGAATGGATAATCTCTTCACTACACGATGGCCGTGCTTCGCTGCGGCGGCCGTCGTTCCGCTTGACATGCCCGGCTTCTTCCGCAGCGGCAAAAACTCTTCCGCAAGTATACTAAATAGTTACAAAGAAATAGAAATCGGAACATAACCCAGAAATCAGAACGAACCTCTCAAGTGAATGCACTCTGCTGATAGCACTAAAATGGCCTACAAATTTTATTCAACGCCGCGTCGGTCTTTTAAAGTGTCGATCTTTTAACTAATCGGCCTTTTAACCCTTTTTGGCTGCGTCTCTGCAAAGATATAACACACTATTTCGCTTTGCGAGGGACTTCAAAATGTAAACTCAAGGCATTTCAAAGTGTAAACTAATTAAAATATCTAGCGAAGGATAAATTTTCAGAAAAGAATTTTTTTCCCACTCAAATCTTCTATTTTTTCCCTAAATTTATGATTTTCGGCTGGTTTCCGAGTTCCGGCTTTTGAGCCATTTCCGATTTCAGACTGTCATTTCCGACCGACGTCTGATTCTTAGAGATTTTTAAAGAGTCGGTTAGGTAGTTTATCGATTTTAGCTTCCAGACTTTTCTATTACTTCCTTTGTGATGCGCCCAAAACGGCGCGCGGCCATAACGGCGCAAAGCCATAACTTGTTTTAAGATTTCCTAATCTTATAGAATTCAGTATTAAACGATTCCTCTCATCGAGCTAAGGAGATTGGTATCTAAATTGTTAAGGGCCAGACATTTTCCACCAAGTTATAGCTTTGCGCCGTTTGGCTTCGCGCCGTTTTGGGCTATATCTGTTTTTTGTTTCTTTTACACCCTCAACTTAATATTTACTTTTAATTTATTTTAGACTTTAGAATTGACTTTTAATTATTAAAAAAATGTCGTCGCAACTAAAGGCAGTTAAATTAGAAGTTGATGACAACACATTTAATGATGCCATTCAAAACTGCAATTTGCCAAAGGTTTAACTTTTTTGTTTTTGATGTGTTCATTTTAGAGGGATTTCTGGGAATTAAATTATTCGATTCTGTAAGGCTGTGCAAGTAGGCGGCGTGGTGTAATGACTAACACATCAGTTCGGTCTACTGAAGATGCTGTTTCGTTCCCAGCCGCCGAATAACTGAAGATGCTGGTTCGTTCCCAGCCGCCAAATAACTGAAGATGCTGGTTCGTTCCCAGCCGCCAAATAACTGAAGATGCTGTTTCGTTCCCAGCCGCCGAATAACTGAAGATGCTGGTTCGTTCCCAGCCGCCAAATAACTGAAGATGCTGGTTCGTTCCCAGCCGCCGAATAACTGAAGATGCTGGTTCGCTCCCAGCCGCCGAATAACTGAAGATGCTGGTTCGTTCCCAGCCGCCAAATAACTGAAGATGCTGGTTCGTTCCCAACCGTCGAATAACTGAAGATGCTGGTTCGTTCCCAGCCGCCGAATAACTGAAGATGCTGGTTCGCTCCCAGCCGCCGAATAACTGAAGATGCTGGTTCGTTCCCAGCCGCCGAATAGCCTTTTGCGCTAGCTAAAGGAGCGCAAAGCTACAGGCCTGATTGGGAAGGTGTAGTAATTTCTTCTATTTAAAATTGTTCTATAATAAAATTCCATCAATTTTCAGATGGACACAGACCAGTCGACTGTATTGGTTTGTTGGCAATCCCGGAGAATTGGGGTCCCTGCGGAAAAAAATCTTAAAAATAAGAAAAAGGATTTTTCTAGGATAAAAAAATATGCTGATTACGAATCCGAGCTCGGATTTTGAAAAAGTCGAATCCCGAACCCGAACCAAATTTCGAACCCTGAACATGAATTCCGAATATGTAAATGATAGCTCGTTCGAAAGAGCTCGTCGAGCTGCATCGAATGACACCAAAATCAACGCGATCGGACCTGTTTCGACAAAGTTATGACATAAAGTAAACCTCTGGGAGTACTGTAAGAGACGGCGACTTATGTCATAACTTTGTCTAAACTTGATCAATCACTATAATTTTGGTGTCATTCGACTCAGCTCGACGAGCTCTTTCAAATGAGCTATCATTTGTAAAAACTTTTTTTTACTCCAAAAAATCACCCCTATGGTTTTTCATATTTAGGGGTCTGTATCTCGGTTCAATCCGGTCGGATTTCATTGATTTTGGTGTCATTCGACTCAGCTCGATGAATTCTAGATTCTTTAAAAAGACTGGACATTTTGTACAATATCCGACAATGTTCGGGGTCAAAAATCCTGTTCGGTGGCAAAAGTCCGAATTCGGGTTCGGGATTCGACTTTTTCAAAATCCGAGCTCGGATTCGTAATCAGCATATTTTTTTACCCTAGAAAAATCCTTTTTCTTATTTTTAAGATTTTTTCCCGCAGGGACCCCAATTCTCCGGGATTGCCGGTTTGTTTATACAAGAATGCATTTAAAATAAAATTTTTTTTCATTAGGTGGAGTTGTTCTTTCAACATCAGCAACGGTGAAGGAGGAAGACAATGGCAACGAATGATTAAAAATCTTGGGAAGACTTTGGAATATTGGCACAAATTTGGAAGCTAATGGATGAAAAACAGTTTTTATTTATTTTTTTAATTAATTGAGTGCATTTTTACTTTAGTGATTGTAAGACCCAAGACCCTCACTCCCGCAACACTTTCCCTGGGTCATTATAATTCGACCCTTAGGAGTGTGTCTTCGGTTAATCCAAATTTTAAAAACCCAGTTTTCGGTTTTGAGTTTTAAACAAATGTCGATTTTATTTTGGGGGAGTTTAATGAAAATTTGTTCGTGGGAGAGGGGAGTCTTTATTAGGGACTGGACTGGGAGGGTCGTACAAGAATCGAATGAGATATCTCGAAAAATCTTTATTTCGATAACCGAGATTTTTGTTCGAGATCTCATTCCGGTCTTTAGTCTATATAAAAATTCCAGTGCTTAATTTATTTTTATTATTCTCAAATAATTATATTATTTTGAGAAATAAAATTTGCTTTAGTCTTCTCAATTTTTGCATATTTTTTTAATATTGTTTTTGATCAAAGAATTATTTTTTCTTTAAACAGATAGCTTTTTTAATTATTCCAAAAAAAATTAATTATTTTTTCTATTCAGCATATTTTATAAAAAATTTTATACAAATTTCCTACAATGCCTGGCAAACGACCATTTGATGAACGAAGAGTTTTAAAATGGAATGATGTAATTCACAGACAAGGAAGAATGATTGAAGATTATGAAGAAGAACTGAAAGAAGAAAAAGAGAAAAATCGACATTTGATTGGACAATTGTCGATTTTGAAGACTTCAACAATAATCAGTCCACTCCCTCAAAAGAAGAAAACTTTGAAGGAAGTGCCTGTTTTAAGATTTGATTCTGAAGATGAAGAAGAAAATAAAAAAGAAAATCCTAAGGTTGTTAACCAAAAATCAAAGTCTAATTTTATCATTTTATTTTTAAGGCAAGTTCATCAAAAAATGGAGGAAATGAAGAAGAAAATTCTAAGGTTCTAATTTTATCTATTATGTCTATTCAAAAACTAATATCATTTTATTTTTAAGGCAACCACATCAAAAAATGGAGGAAAAGAAGGAGAAAATTCAAAGGTTGTTTTGTTTATTAGGGTTATTTTATAGAATAGATTTTTGGGAGTCAGGGTTATTTTATAAAGATTTGTGGGAATCCCACGGCAAGGATTTGAATTTTTCGAGTTAGCTTAACTGAGGTATTGGGTTTTCTTTTCTTGTAGAATTTACCCAAAAAAGCGGGTTGTCTTTCTAATTTCAATTTTTAAGATTTTTTTTTCAGGAGAACAAAGTAAAGAGAGAAAAAGGAAAGGTAGAAAATTTTTGAAAAAAGTTTTTAAAAATTATGTACTTTTAGCGAATTGGGCATAGAGAACGGGGAAGAAGACAAATTGAACGAGCGAAAACTAAAGAAATAAAGAAGCTTAAACAACTCAAGAAGGAACAAAGGGAACTCAAAAAGCAACAAAAGGAACTGAAGAAACAAAAGGAAATGAAGAAACAACAAAAGAAAAAGAAATGAGGGAGAAAATTGGTTGTTCTTAGGGGTGTGCCGTTTCGCCTTTCGTTTTTTAAATTGACTTTGTCTTTCTTTGCTTTTTAAAATCTGTTTCGGCACACCTTTTAATTGATTCTTTTCTTGCTGCTGTTATGTCGTTGATTCTTATACAGTCGGACCTTGAATGATTTCTCCTAAAATTAAATATATGTAAATCTTACAGGTTTTCCTTTTAATTGGTTTTAGTTGGGTGAGGAGTCTGCCTAAACGGTTAATATTTTTCCTAAAACTAAATAAACGTAAATTTTACAGGTTTTCCTTAATTCCAGAATTTTCTTCTTCATGGGGAGTTCCGACTGTTTCCTATATTTTTTATATGATTCTAAATTTTTTATCGCCGTTGACACATTTATTTCAATTAAATTTTTATTAAATTAATTAATTCCATATTTTTAATAAATAAATTGTTTTCATTAATTTTCTTAATTCTTTTTTTGAAGATTGTTTTTAAACAATTGAATTTTTCTTATTAAATTTCTTTAGGATTTTGGATGGTCAACTTTTCTAAATTGATGGATTCTGTTTTTGGATTGGTTAATTTTTTGTTAAATTGTTTATATTTTAATTTTTTAAGGTCGAATCAGTGCCAACAACTGATCTTTCCCCCAGATGCTTTAACTTCACTTTCCTTGTTGATGGTTGCACAAGCACAAGAATCTGTTTATATCAAAGCTTGCAGGTTTTTATTTTGAAGAGTGAATTTTTTATGAAATTAAATTTTTAGATAAGATGTTTGGCAAAACCTTCAACGATTTCTGGTGTTCAAGACTATTAAAAGATGGAAAAGAAACTTATGAAAATCTTCGTAAACAATTTACAACAAAATGGACTCGAATGCCTTCTGAAAATTTGACACCACCTTTTTTGCAAGAATTGGGAAAATTTAGAGGAATATTACAAACAGCAGCTAATGCGGATGTTAGCGTTAGAAGTAAATTTGAGCAAAACAAGAGAGGAATGGAATTGCTTAGTTTAACTGAGGTTTTTTTTGTTTTTTACGAACCATGGGTGTCACGAGTCGAGAATAAAGTTGGGCCGTTAATAAATTTGAGTCGAAAAACTTCGCGTTTTGGTCTCGGGTAATCGGTTCAGTTAGGGTATTGAAATGAAAAAAATACGGGTCAATTTTTTAAATTTTTCCGGTTACGGGTAACCCTTGATATCCCTGATCCGAAACTCTAATAATAAGGTTTTCAAAAAAAATTTTATAGAATGACTTAAAATTATCAATTCCTGGTATTGGAAATATTCAACTCTTTATGTGACAAAGTAGAATCTTCAATTGAAAGGCAAGATTCTGTTATGGAGGAAGTTCAATTATGGCATAAAAAGTTTCATGAAGAACGTCAAACAACTGGAGGTGCTCAATATAAAAATTTTTTCGGAAGGATTGGCAACTGCTTGTGATGCTTTTTTAGACGTGAAGGAGATTTGAATGAAGGAACTAAGGTTTTCTGAATTTGATTTTTTTCTGATTTATTTTTATAATTATTCTTTTCATTAGATTTTTGTTTTGCTCGCCAAACGGAAAATCAGGATTTGATGAAGCAAGTCCAGCAAAAGATTGTCTGCTGACAACGGCCGCCGTTTGATCATCAACATAAAAATGTTTGTTCTTTTAATTTAATTATTAACATTTTTGAAAATGTTGTATCTGTTCTAAAAACTTAATTAGTTAAGTACCGAGTCCCCTGACTTTGTGGATTTCAGTTTATTAATTATATTAGATTTAAATCCAAAATTCAAAAGCGATGATATTTTTCGAAACACTGACTAGGGATCGACTGAACCTTTAGTTTGTTTCCATTTTACATTTTGAAGTTCACCGAAAAATAGTGTTAGTTAAATAGAGAGAGTATTAAAGTTTAAATTTTCTAATTATTGATTTACTATACCACCGTTTTTTGGCTTCCTTTTTGTATATTGATTTTTTCGTTATTCTCTATTTCATTTTATTTTTATTTAGAAGCTGTTTAACAAATGTACAACAAATTCTAACAACACTTCGACATCCTCGTCTAGATCAATCATTCAACACTCATCAACTCAAGTCCCCCTGCCGCGGGCAGGGGGCAACTCAAGTCCCCCTGCCTCGTGTAGGGGGCAACTCAAGTCCCCCTGCCGCGGGCAGGGGGCAACTCAAGTCCCCCTGTCTCGTGCACGGGGCAACTCTGGTCCCCCTGCCTCGTGCAGGGGACAACTCAAGTCCCCCTGCCTTGTGCAGGGGGCAACTCAAGTCCCCCTGCCTTGTGCAGGGGGCAACTCAAGTCCCCCTGCCTTGTGCAGGGGGCAACTCAAGTCCCCCTGCCTTGTGTAGGGGGCAACTCAAGTCCCCCTGCCGCGGGCAGGGGGCAACTCAAGTCCCCCTGTCTCGTGCACGGGGCAACTCTGGTCCCCCTGCCTCGTGCAGGGGACAACTCAAGTCCCCCTGCCTTGTGCAGGGGGCAACTCAAGTCCCCCTGCCTTGTGCAGGGGGCAACTCAAGTCCCCCTGCCTTGTGCAGGGGGCAACTCAAGTCCCCCTGCCTTGTGCAGGGGGCAACTCAAGTCCCCCTGCCTTGTGCAGGGGGCAACTCAAGTCCCCCTGCCTTGTGCAGGGGGCAACTCAAGTCCCCCTGCCTTGTGCAGGGGGCAACTCAAGTCCCCCTGCCTTGTGCAGGGGGCAACTCAAGTCCCCCTGCCTTGTGCAGGGGGCAACTCAAGTCCCCCTGCCTTGTGCAGGGGGCAACTCAAGTCCCCCTGCCTTGTGCAGGGGGCAACTCAAGTCCCCCTGCCTTGTGCAGGGGGCAACTCAAGTCCCCCTGCCTTGTGCAGGGGGCAACTCAAGTCCCCCTGCCTTGTGCAGGGGGCAACTCAAGTCCCCCTGCCTTGTGCAGGGGGCAACTCAAGTCCCCCTGCCTTGTGCAGGGGGCAACTCAAGTCCCCCTGCCTTGTGCAGGGGGCAACTCAAGTCCCCCTGCCTTGTGCAGGGGGCAACTCAAGTCCCCCTGCCTTGTGCAGGGGGCAACTCAAGTCCCCCTGCCTTGTGCAGGGGGCAACTCAAGTCCCCCTGCCTTGTGCAGGGGGCAACTCAAGTCCCCCTGCCTTGTGCAGGGGGCAACTCAAGTCCCCCTGCCTTGTGCAGGGGGCAACTCAAGTCCCCCTGCCTTGTGCAGGGGGCAACTCAAGTCCCCCTGCCTTGTGCAGGGGGCAACTCAAGTCCCCCTGCCTTGTGCAGGGGGCAACTCAAGTCCCCCTGCCTTGTGCAGGGGGCAACTCAAGTCCCCCTGCCTTGTGCAGGGGGCAACTCAAGTCCCCCTGCCTTGTGCAGGGGGCAACTCAAGTCCCCCTGCCTTGTGCAGGGGGCAACTCAAGTCCCCCTGCCTTGTGCAGGGGGCAACTCAAGTCCCCCTGCCTTGTGCAGGGGGCAACTCAAGTCCCCCTGCCTTGTGCAGGGGGCAACTCAAGTCCCCCTGCCTTGTGCAGGGGGCAACTCAAGTCCCCCTGCCTTGTGCAGGGGGCAACTCAAGTCCCCCTGCCTTGTGCAGGGGGCAACTCAAGTCCCCCTGCCTTGTGCAGGGGGCAACTCAAGTCCCCCTGCCTTGTGCAGGGGGCAACTCAAGTCCCCCTGCCTTGTGCAGGGGGCAACTCAAGTCCCCCTGCCTTGTGCAGGGGGCAACTCAAGTCCCCCTGCCTTGTGCAGGGGGCAACTCAAGTCCCCCTGCCTTGTGCAGGGGGCAACTCAAGTCCCCCTGCCTTGTGCAGGGGGCAACTCAAGTCCCCCTGCCTTGTGCAGGGGGCAACTCAAGTCCCCCTGCCTTGTGCAGGGGGCAACTCAAGTCCCCCTGCCTTGTGCAGGGGGCAACTCAAGTCCCCCTGCCTTGTGCAGGGGGCAACTCAAGTCCCCCTGCCTTGTGCAGGGGGACTTGACTTCAAAATGTAAACTCAAGGCATTTCAAAGTGTAAACTAATTAAAATATCTAGCGAAGGATAAATTTTCAGAAAAGAATTTTTTTCCCACTCAAATCTTCTATTTTTTCCCTAAATTTATGATTTTCGGCTGGTTTCCGAGTTCCGGCTTTTGAGCCATTTCCGATTTCAGACTGTCATTTCCGACCGACGTCTGATTCTTAGAGATTTTTAAAGAGTCGGTTAGGTAGTTTATCGATTTTAGCTTCCAGACTTTTCTATTACTTCCTTTGTGATGCGCCCAAAACGGCGCGCGGCCATAACGGCGCAAAGCCATAACTTGTTTTAAGATTTCCTAATCTTATAGAATTCAGTATTAAACGATTCCTCTCATCGAGCTAAGGAGATTGGTATCTAAATTGTTAAGGGCCAGACATTTTCCACCAAGTTATAGCTTTGCGCCGTTTGGCTTCGCGCCGTTTTGGGCTATATCTGTTTTTTGTTTCTTTTACACCCTCAACTTAATATTTACTTTTAATTTATTTTAGACTTTAGAATTGACTTTTAATTATTAAAAAAATGTCGTCGCAACTAAAGGCAGTTAAATTAGAAGTTGATGACAACACATTTAATGATGCCATTCAAAACTGCAATTTGCCAAAGGTTTAACTTTTTTGTTTTTGATGTGTTCATTTTAGAGGGATTTCTGGGAATTAAATTATTCGATTCTGTAAGGCTGTGCAAGTAGGCGGCGTGGTGTAATGACTAACACATCAGTTCGGTCTACTGAAGATGCTGTTTCGTTCCCAGCCGCCGAATAACTGAAGATGCTGGTTCGTTCCCAGCCGCCAAATAACTGAAGATGCTGGTTCGTTCCCAGCCGCCAAATAACTGAAGATGCTGTTTCGTTCCCAGCCGCCGAATAACTGAAGATGCTGGTTCGTTCCCAGCCGCCAAATAACTGAAGATGCTGGTTCGTTCCCAGCCGCCGAATAACTGAAGATGCTGGTTCGCTCCCAGCCGCCGAATAACTGAAGATGCTGGTTCGTTCCCAGCCGCCAAATAACTGAAGATGCTGGTTCGTTCCCAACCGTCGAATAACTGAAGATGCTGGTTCGTTCCCAGCCGCCGAATAACTGAAGATGCTGGTTCGCTCCCAGCCGCCGAATAACTGAAGATGCTGGTTCGTTCCCAGCCGCCGAATAGCCTTTTGCGCTAGCTAAAGGAGCGCAAAGCTACAGGCCTGATTGGGAAGGTGTAGTAATTTCTTCTATTTAAAATTGTTCTATAATAAAATTCCATCAATTTTCAGATGGACACAGACCAGTCGACTGTATTGGTTTGTTGGCAATCCCGGAGAATTGGGGTCCCTGCGGAAAAAAATCTTAAAAATAAGAAAAAGGATTTTTCTAGGATAAAAAAATATGCTGATTACGAATCCGAGCTCGGATTTTGAAAAAGTCGAATCCCGAACCCGAACCAAATTTCGAACCCTGAACATGAATTCCGAATATGTAAATGATAGCTCGTTCGAAAGAGCTCGTCGAGCTGCATCGAATGACACCAAAATCAACGCGATCGGACCTGTTTCGACAAAGTTATGACATAAAGTAAACCTCTGGGAGTACTGTAAGAGACGGCGACTTATGTCATAACTTTGTCTAAACTTGATCAATCACTATAATTTTGGTGTCATTCGACTCAGCTCGACGAGCTCTTTCAAATGAGCTATCATTTGTAAAAACTTTTTTTTACTCCAAAAAATCACCCCTATGGTTTTTCATATTTAGGGGTCTGTATCTCGGTTCAATCCGGTCGGATTTCATTGATTTTGGTGTCATTCGACTCAGCTCGATGAATTCTAGATTCTTTAAAAAGACTGGACATTTTGTACAATATCCGACAATGTTCGGGGTCAAAAATCCTGTTCGGTGGCAAAAGTCCGAATTCGGGTTCGGGATTCGACTTTTTCAAAATCCGAGCTCGGATTCGTAATCAGCATATTTTTTTACCCTAGAAAAATCCTTTTTCTTATTTTTAAGATTTTTTCCCGCAGGGACCCCAATTCTCCGGGATTGCCGGTTTGTTTATACAAGAATGCATTTAAAATAAAATTTTTTTTCATTAGGTGGAGTTGTTCTTTCAACATCAGCAACGGTGAAGGAGGAAGACAATGGCAACGAATGATTAAAAATC